AAATTGTTACTGGAGTAACACTGAGGGAGGAGGAAACCATACACATCGCGTTTCAGGATATACGCAAACAACGGGACAAAGTAAAGATTACATGCCACCTTACATGACAGTTTACGCATGGTATAGAGTTCAATGAACGCTCAATGTTTGTGAAACAAACTTTAGGAGCTCCAAAAGAGCAAACGGCATAATTTAAATTTTTATTTTAGTATAAATGAAGATTCTACCATATGGTGTTATTGGAAGAGATAAAGATGGAAACCCAATATTTGATCCAAAGTTAAAATTAAAGTTACTGACAAGACAACAACTTGAAAAGTTGCTGAAACCAAAACAGAATGAAAAATGAGAAAATGAGAAAATGAGAAAGAAAAAAATTTAAATTATGCAATTTTATTTTTATCATAAATGACCAAATTAATTAAGCCAACTATTTCTAAATTAATGATACCAATGAAATCATTTCATGGAGTACTTATCCCAGGTTCTTCACAATTAGCCGGGGCAAGTGTTGTGACTCAAGGTGGAACATTAGCGAATCCATTCAAATTATTAACTAAAGATGAACTTAATAAAATGATGATAAAATAACTGATAACAAAATTTTATTTCACTGCTACCATAAAAACAGGTGAAAAAACAGGTGAGATCTCACCTCTTCACCTAAAATATATTTTAGGTTAAAGCTTCCACGAGAGAAAAGATTCCTCATTCGCTAAGGATTCCAAAAATGAAAAAATCATTGATTTCGGCTGAGAAAAAATAGCAAAACCCTTCTTCCACGGGAACAAAGAAATAAAGAAGAAATAAAGAAGAAATAAAGTAAATTTTTTATTTATTCCCGTGGAAGATAGAGCACTTTTATGACACTTTTTATTCACGACAAACAAGACAAACAAAGAAAATAAGAAAATACGGCGCCGTCGCGGTTCGAACCACAGACCCTGACCCCTCCATAACACTACCTTAGACCACTGTGCTACGTAGCCTGTCGACATAAGATTTTATAAATTGCATATTTGACGTAAATTTATTTCCCAGTTATTCAAAAATAATTAATTATTGAATAACCTAAAATCATTAATGAAAACATAAACGATAACATTTATTTCCTGTGTTGTTGTCAAAATGTCATGTTGTCTCAAACTTTAGAACGAACTGAAAGTCCTGAGCTCCAAAAGAGCAAACGGCATAATTTAAATTTTTATTTTTATCATAAATGAATACCCCACAAGCTCAAAATTTACCACGAATCATAACAAGGGAGGAAATGATAAAAATGATGCAAGAACATGTTAAAAATAACAAACCACTAAAACTGAGAAAATGTGGTTATGCAGTAATGATGGAAAGAGAGATGTTGTCGAAGAGGAATAAAAATTAAATTTGGATTGAGTTTAAAAATTCATCTTTATTAAATTCATCTCTTCCAATCAATTTATTTATTCTATTAAATTCTTTTATTTTTGCTTCACTCAGTTTAAGGATTGAACGGTAAGTTTCTAATTTTTCGATTATTTCTTTATCGTTTTCAACCCCACCACATTGCGACTTCTTTTTGTAATAGCATATTTTTGATTTAATTCTGTTTAGTTTCTTTTTATATTCATTGTCTGGACTCTTGACTGCTTTGTTGTCACTCATTTTCTTACGAAATAAAAAAATTAAATATTATTTAAATATAATGGAGTAATAAAATAAATCGGAATTTCTATTAATTTATTGTTAACCTCAACTAATGCATTGCCGTTAATATATCTAACAAATTCAGCTATTGTGTCAAATCTTCGTCTTCTTTTTGTCATTGATTTATCAGTTTTTCCATAATCGAGATGAATCAAAACTTTATCCCCTTGTTTAAAATTCATGAGCCCCGAATTAATTTGTTCACGTTTAACATCATTCAACCTTTCCATTTGCTTTCTAATATATTCCCATTCTTTTGAAATATCATTTTTCATTTCCACTGGTTTCATGTTTATAGTTCTATGCCATGTATTATTGTAATAATATACTAACTGCTGTATGATGGAGTCATGATTTCCATCCCAGTATATCTGACCGTTAACCCCTAACGCATCTCTAAGAGTTCTCATTACTGCATCAACTATTTTATTATGAAACGTATATGGAGAGGATGAAAAGTAAAAATTAATTTGTGGGAAATAATGAGTCATAGCTGCCTGAAATCCTTTATCACCATCACCCTTATATTATCTACTCTTTCATGATCTAGTAAGTATTGAATAGCTCTTCTTGTTTCCTGTTCTGTTTTCCCTTTCACTGGAATGCAATATAAATATCTGGTGTTAATGTTAATGGTAAATAAATAAGTAACGTTTCCTTTTGAATATTCCAGATGATCAATTTCATATGAATATGGATATGGTGCAAATGAAGGGCGACTAAATTTTTCCTTTAACGGTTGAATTTTTGGGTCAATTGGTTTATTTAATATCTTGAAATCCTTTTTAAAATCTTTTTGTTTCTTTAATGTTTGAAATGGATATAATAAAGTGAATGATGAAGGATTAACTGAAGGAGGAGGTGGTTTTGGTGTTGCAGGTACTGTCGTTAGAGGTTTTGGTGTTGCAAGTGGTTTAATTTTATCTGCTTTGATTTTGGATGATGAAGTTTTGGAATTCATTCCTTCCTTCATTAATTCTGGATGTATTCTATTCATTTGTTTTAAATATGCTGTATATAAAGGTTTAATATACTTTCCCGCTTCGAGTTTATGTTGAAGGATGAATTCCAAAAGTTGATCTTCATTTAAAAGTCGGGCTGAATATGGTTTAACTAATGAATCATAAATTAAAGCTTGTGCCTCATTTATGGTCTGAAGGACCTGGGCGTTTTGCACCTTTTGTTTTGCTCCTTTTGCTTTTGCGGCTCAGGATTATATAATTTATATAATTCATCAATATCTTCTTCTGTTAATACTTTATTTTTAAAATCTTTCAATTGTTTAAGTTGTGATTTAGTTTTTCCCTTTGAATATTCATTATTTTTAATTTTGTCTTTAATTTCAGAAATTATTTTATCATGATATTTCAAAATTTCATTTTTATAATACGAATAATAATAATCCATATCATCACCCGTTATATTTTTATTATATTTGGAGATATGCTTTTAAATCATAATAATCAAGAAAATTTTGATTAAATACTAAATCATCAATTAAAATTTTTAAATCTGTGTTATCCATTTATATAAAAATAAAATAAATGTTTTAAGGGTGCCCACCTCTTTGAATCATAGTACAAAACCATTATTAACGGTTCCTTTTGTCTCTTCTGTGGCATTTCATTAAATAAATGGCATACAACATCCATTTTCACAACATACAGCCTTAGTGTGTGCTCCTGTTAATGCAGTCTTACCAATTGTTAAGCGAGTCATTGACCCGTTTTTAAGTTGTAAATTAATATTCTGACCATCAAATATCACTTTATCATTTATTATATCCAAATAATTTTTAGGTGTTAATTGTTTATTTTGTCGTAAACTAACTCCTTTCATTTTTTGTGCAATCTTTTTAAAATCACCCCCATCAATTGAACCGTTGAATGATGTATAACACTTAGGACATAAAGCAACCATGTTATCACCTTGTTTCTCAATTGCTAAACCCAATAACTTCTTCTCATGTGCTTTTTCTTCAGCTTTATTCTTTAATTTAGGTTTAAATTTCTCATCAAAACAGAAGAAATCAAAAGGTGCGAATTTGTAAATGTTTTTATCATAAAATTGTTTATCGGTTACAATTGCTTGAAATGCTTGAGTGTTAGGAAGATTTGGGTCGCCAGCGATTGCCCAATAAGATGAATCAGTATCACCTTCAATGAAATGAAAACGATTAACATTCATGCATTTATACATAAAATCATAAATGAAAACCAAATACCAGTATTTTGCATTATCTAAAGTGAAGAATGCCTCTTGTAAACATGTATCACATCTATAAAATCTATCTTTAAGCATCACTTGATACGTATCTTCACCTATTTCTCTTATGTTTTTAAACTTATTTGACATACATGCAACGCGTGCCTTCTGTGCATTCATTATTTTAGTCTTTGCGTAATTTTGTGTATTCATTGCATCGTAACCATATGATCCATTAAGTGAAATCTTGCAAAATAAACTTTTTCCTTTATTTCCTTCTAATTCCGCCTTTTGTCTTTCGTTCATAAATTCGTTCGCAAATTCATTAAAACAAGTATTTTTCGTAAATGTTAAAATTGATTGAATGTCATCAATGATAAAATGAAATCTGTCTATTAGATACCAAAGATAATAAGAAGAAAATGGTTGATATTGGTTGTGTGTTGATGCTAACTGAGTTAATTTTCTCTGTTTCTGGTCAACTGGTAGATTGTTTGATTTCATGTAATTATACATAAAACTGCCAATTGTTTTTTCATCTGTGATAATATCTAAGTTTCTTATTATCGGTAAAAAGTTTATGTAATCATTAATGTATTTTTCATCAATGTGACCCTTTACTTCAGCCACGAATAAAGTATTTTTCTTTCTAATTATTCCCAATGCTTTTGCTTTCTTTGTTGCTGTATCACAAATGATAACACCATTCAATCTTCCCGGCATATACATTTTATGGTCAGTATATTGAATGAAATCATGAGGATTAGATGAAAATGATGAAGGATATAATGAATTAAAGTCAACTCCAACAAAATGAGTCATAATGTTGGAAGTGTCCTCATTTGATACAGTTTTAGTTTCTGGACTATATGAAAGTTTATTAATGTGCGTGATTCCTTTAAGATTAACACGATGTTGAACATTTGATAGACCACCAGTAATTCCATTACGGAGAATGTGATAAGCTTCAACTGAATCTAAAGTCATTGGTAAATTATTTTTTAATGTATAATTTCTTAAATTGATTCTTAAACGTTGAACATCCTCATCTTTATTTGATTTTACGACATTGCAATAACAACACATTAACTGACAATTTTCTTTGGTATGTGGTTTTTCATTATCGATTCTATCCAATGTTGGTTTATTAGCATATGTAAACGCTTTACCACACATTTTGCATTTAGATGAAAGGATTAAATCGTGATAGTATTGAAAATCATCCATTGAAACATTGTTTTTAGTATCCCTTTCTGCTTTTTCATCTTGTTTCTTATATGATTCAATTTTATATTTCCAATACTTTTTCGTTAATTCAAAACTTGATTCCACATTTTCTTCTTCTGGATATTTTTCGTTAGGATTAAAGTCTTTATATGCTAAAGCGTAACGAATCATTGATGCATTCGATGATAAAGAAAGATTATGAAGCATGTCAATTTTATAAACAAATGTTTCTTCGATAATTTTATCAATTGGGTCAATCATAATTTCAACATCTTTATTGCAATAATGAATAAAATATTCTAATCTATTCTTAAAGTTTTTAGCATCATTGAGATATATTTGATAATCACTATCTGATATAGTTTCTTGAGTTAATGCTGAATAAAATGAATCTTGAGTGAATGGTTCCTCTTTATATAATTCTTCTTCGTAATTTTCCCATGTGATGAATTGATAAGGGAAAAAGGATTTAACACGTGATTTATTGTTTCCGAAATCTTGAGTGAATTGGTCTAATGTCCCACCCGCTATATAATTTCTGATGTCAATAAATCTCAATTCATATGGAACGTTTGTTTTCTTTACAATGATTTGCTTAAATTGAGAAGATGAACCCAGCATTGATTTTATTTTCCATTTTGCAGTGTTTAAATCACGAAGAATTAAATTTAAATCAAACTTTCCCGAATTAAAACCTATGATATTCACTTTATTGAATTCCTCATCTAGAAGTTCTTTAAATGCTTCCTTTTGTTTCTCATTTAATGTTTGTGACTTCATTAATTCTTCATATTGTTCAATATTTGATTTAGCAACTAATGAACAGGTTGAAAATAAAAACTCAATCCAATCAGAAATAAAAGAATCACTTGAAGTTAAGCAAAAATTCCTCGTAAATGTTTTATCACGGTCTACGACCTCGCCGCTTTGCGGCTTTATTTTGACAGTTGATGATACCATGAATGGTTTTAAGTAAGCATTCAAAGTTGCACATTCAGAAAGTTGAAGTTCTTCTTTAGTCTCTAATGTTTCGAAGTCAAAAGTAATATAATATCTTGTTGGTTTATAATATTCCTGCAAATTATGTGCTAATAGCCATTGATATATCTTCTGTTTCGTGATATGTGGTGCATATGGTTGTTGTGTGTTTTGCAATTGAACGTCTTGAATTAATCTTCCATTATTTTCTTTACATTTCTCACAATGTTTTAAAAATCTTCTTTGGTTTTTCCTTTCTGGATCATCACGGATAGAATATACTTCTTCTTTGCAAAAGGGGCAAACTCTATAGCCGGTGAGTGCTTCAACGTCTGTTATTCTGTCAGCGTGAAGTTTTCCACATGGACTCTGTGTTAGTAAAATATTTACTGTTTCAAATTCTGGATCTATCATTATTGATTCCACTAATGGAAAGTCTACCTTGTTAATGTCTACGTCTTCTGGTTGAGGGTCACAATAATAAAAATCAATATTAACGTTTAACATTCTTGCTAACCTCTCACTTTCTGATGAAATGTCAAACCCTTCATATGCATCTATTGCTTCATTTAAATAGCTTCTACGAGTTTTAGGATTAACACCATCAGGAATGTTATAGAAGCGTTTAAATAACCTTCTACCTTCTGCTCTAATTTGATTATCATTCATTTTAGCTGTTCCGTTTTTGTTCATTTATGTAAGAATAAAAATTAAAAAAATAAATAAAAATAAAGTTTATTTTTTTTTAAAAGTCCGAGACTCAGAGAGTCCAGGGCTAAAGTCCATAAAATGAATTAAGAACACATAAATTTTTATCATCTGCGACGTGACGAATACATTTTAATTTACTCAAGAATGCGTACCCTGATACATTAAATCTAATTCCTGTCTTATTTAATTTCACAACTTTGAAAAGGAATGTATGAATAGCTATAAAATGATGAGATGATGTTTTATGGGTTGCTTCCATTTTTTCTGAAATAAATGAATAAATATAATGCTTATAAGTTTTCATATCTTTTATGTTCTTAATAACGAATGGTATAGACCTTTCCACTTCGTCTTCCTTCGGTGCTGTTCTTTCATATGAAACATTATTGGTATCTTCAATAATGAAACCACAATCGCATAAAATTTTATATGTTCCAATGGTTTCTTTTGATATTTTATCTAATAAATCAAAAACTTTATCAACACCTGTGCATTTATTTAAATAATAATTTGTGTAAATATCATGATCTTCTTTCTTAATCGTATTTGTTGCATATGTCACGTTTTTCAATGCTTTTTTGAATTTTTCAGAATCAAGAGGAGGTGAAAGTAATATACAGGGGTATTCTTCATTATCAATAAATTGTAACTTATGTTTACGAATAAATTTAGTACCTTCTTCTGAAAGTGTTTCGTTTATTTCACCATCTAATAAATTTTGTGTTGATTCCAAAAAGTAATTTTTATATCTTTCTTCATGAGATTTCTGTACTTCTGATTCTGAAGCTGGGATATTCATTAAACCCTCTACTTCATTTTCATTATATTTTTCAACTTCTCTTAATTCCTTAATTTTTTCATCTATTTCATCTCTTATTTTTTCCAGTCTTTCAATTTCATCATATTCATCATCTTTAATCCGTTCTTCATAATATTCAGGGAAAACATCAGGTTCTTTAGGTTTTTCTTCTTCAGATGTAGGATATAAGAAATTTATAACATCATCTTTATTCATTTTTCCATCATAATCTAAATCATTTAATAACTCCACGAATTTTTTACAATTTCTTAAATAATATTTACTAACTTCATAACCTGCCTCCTCTAATATATCCTTTATTTCCTCGTTTGTGAATCCTAATTTTTTAACGTTGTTAGTTGTGACGCTCATTTATCATTAAATAAAAAAATAAAAAAATAAATTATTCAAAAAATGTAAGACATGAATTTTCAAAGTTTATTTTTCATTCATGAAAATAATTATTTCTAATTTCTTTTACTCTCTCGTACATACTAGATTTAAAGAATTCAGAACTTTTACCATAATCTCCTAAATGTTTTCTTATCCCTAACGTGTGCCAGTTATTATATGAAACTGAATAAACTTTATCTTTATCTTTACACCTTTCATCACTTCCAATATATTTATATTTCAATTTTGATTTAGCATTTTCATATTCATTAACGTTTAATAATTCACAGTCTTCCTTTTTAAATAAATGTTTTATGTATTCAGGATTTAATACTCTACGTTTATATGCTCCTAACTTAGTTCTAAAGGTTTTTCTACAAAATTTAGGAATTCCATCCTCTTTAATGTCATCAATGATTTCCATTTCATTATTTTCAATTTCTTCTTCTCGTTTATGAGGTCTTTGATTATGACTCCATTGATTCCATGAAATTAAATATTCTTTATCATTATATTTATACCTCATTAGCTTATTTTGGCTTTCATATTCATTTAATAATTCACAATCTTCATTTTTAAATTGAAGTTTAACCCATTCAGGATTTAAACAATGTTTAATTAATCGCGGAATATCTGACATCATCTATATATAGCTTCTTTTATAAAAGATAAAAAAATAAATTATTTTAAAATTAATGTTAATTTTTTTAATGTGTTTATAAATTATATTTTAATGCATCGTCTATATATAGATGTAACAAAAAAAGTCACTAAACCCTTTCACATATACTACTATTTGTAATGCCCAAAACAATTTGAAGTAATTGTCATTCCAACATACTCCAAACATTTTTAATATATAACACACACACTTTCTAATAATTTAGCCGAAATCTCCATCTAGTAGAGTACTTAGGTTATTTCTTTTTTCCAAGCGTTTTAATTTACATTGATGATATATTGCAATGGAAATAGTAATAATTGCAATAAAGACAAGGACACTAAGAACAATCACAATGATCTTCCATGTTGTGAATTTAGAAATTGTGATATGAATCAATTTAGTATCACAGCCAATTTGTTTCGAAATAGCAAGATTGTGAACAAAATCAATTGTTTCATTGTTGATAGAACAATTTGTAACATTAGAATCGGAAAAGTTGAATGATTGTTCAATAAGAAGATAACAATCGTGAAGTTCTAAATTGTCATATTCAAATGTAGAAACTGTTGATTCGTTATCGTCATCATATGAATTTTTATAAACAATGCAACTTGTCAAAGAGAGTGATGAACTCTTGATATATGATATTCCTTGAATTAACGTGTTTGAAGCAATGACACAGTCTGTGAATTTGCTTGAAAAATCTGAAAAATGCATGTTTTCACCCATGCAGTTATTACTGATGTTGCATGAATTGAAAATGTTGTCATAGTAAATGTAATTTGTAGTTGATTCTGAGAAATGGGAATATGGTGTGCATTTAATGATTGTTGCCTTAGTAATACTAGTAGGATAGTTAGAGTAGATATCGCAGAAATGGCCTCGACCGGCAAAGCAATTTTCACCAATGACATTAGTGATGCTAGTAAACGTTTTATGTCCAATAATGTAGATAGCGCCACCGCATGTTTTCTTGGTATAAGTATTTGTAACGCATTGATCAAATTCACAGTTAGTAATGCAAATATTGGATGAGAAACAGCAGATTGAGATGGAACCGCCATTATTTGAAGATGTGATGTTGCAAAAGATAACTTTATCGAGTTTAAATTCTCCTTTTATATCTTGGACGATGATTGGTTCTGATTGATATTTATTAGTATCAATATATGTTTCTTCTTTGAGATAATTGAGTACTGCTTCTTCATAATATCCTGAAAATGGAACAATTTCTGTATAATTTGTCGATATTGCTTGTGCCGAGTAATTTCCTAGAATTGCAAACAAATTATCTGAGAAGATATTCTTAACTTCTATATACTGTGTTGAAACAAAATAAGCATTGCGATTATTTGTTATGTTTTTGAAATATATATTTTCAAAATACGCAAATTTAGTATAGCACGCAAAACATGTTATAGCCTTTGCATTTACTATTGATACATATTTGAAAAACATATTTATTTCATTTATTGGATTCTCACAATACACAATTACTTTATTTGATGAACAATTAATCAAAAATATATAGGATGAAACGGAAAAATTAATGATTTCATAATATATGCAATTAGAAATGACATTAGCATTTGATATATTTAAATTTTTGAAATTGATATTGCTTAATCCGTCAATTACTTCTCCCAAAATGGGATCGGATGTGAATTTTTGTTCCATGTATGAGCAATGGTCCAATGTATTATTATCATATCTTATTACTAGAAGAGCATAATCAGATCTAGTATTGAAAAAATTGCATTTGGAAATGTAAGATTGACTTCCGTGTTGAAACATTATTCCATCGCTGTTATATGAATTACATCCGTAGAAAAAACAGTTCTCGATATTTGTATTTTTGTAAATTGTTCTAATTAAGCCTTCTTCTTCGTTAAAGATATTTAATCGGATAAAATTGCAATTCATTACATCAAGAAAATCTAGATTATAAATGACTATAGCTGATAAAAATGTCTGATTAGACATTATATCCGCAATTTATAAAATGCCCGAAATGACATAATAAATTTATACTCATTATAATTGACATCCTTATTATCACATAAATTCATGGGCCGCCTTTGATATTCAGGAAATTGAGAACTTTACAAAAATCAATAGTCTAGAATGGAATTTCAAAATCACCCCTAAATAGACTTGCATTTATTTCTTCTTTATACGATCGCTGTAGAATTAAAAACTGTCTGTTTATTCGTCTAGAAACGACTGTATTCTTTGGTGGAGCAATCCGCATTGAACGAGATCTCCCTGAATTGCAAATAACTAATACTATTTTTACAACGTGCAATTGCAATAGCATGGGAGGTGGTATTTTTCTAAATGGAAATATAAATTCTAATTTTTCATATAATTCTTTTTTTGATTGTGAAGCCGCTTCAGGACTTGCAGCATATTTCAATAACGGAAACACTAAAATTGATAACTGCATGGCAATGCCATATGAAAATCAAGATCAAACCTTATCTTTTCCTTTTCTTTTTAATGATTGTTCAATAAAACTTAATTCAATAAACATTTCACATTATGAAAATTTCAATAGCGGTATTTATTTTTATGGGAAAGATTTTTGTATTAAATATTCCTTTTTTGTAGATTTGCAGTCACAATCGATAAATTTTCAAGTTGATTCTAACTATAACAGTTCAAATGGTTATTCACGATGCTTTTTTATAAACATTTCGGATGGTATTTGTTTCAATTCCTCAGACGTTCTCTTGATTTCAGAAAGTACAATCGATTCTGCTATTTTAGATGGAAACTTATATCAAGTTTATCTTTACAAATGCAACGTGATCAACTGTCTAATTGGTAATAGCTTTTATTTCATCAATTGTACAAACGAAAGTATTCCTCCAATCGAAGTTGATGATTCATTTATCGAGAATAGTATTGAAAAGAATAATTATGGAAATGCAACATATATAAACTATCATGAACCAATAATAAGTAGTCTACAAAACTCAAAGTTAATTGTTGACAGATGCTTCTTCCAAAACATTACTAATAGCATTCAATATGGAACATGTATCTTATGTCGAGATTCAAAGAACTTCGTCAATATCACAAATTCAATTTTTCATCAAATTAATAACATTTATGGATTTTATTTTTCCCCTAGTACCATTTTCATTTCTTGTTATGCATGCAAAGTTTACGCATCAAACAATTGTTGTTCCGATAGTTCAGGCACATTTTTATCAATACAATCATCTAAGTTAATGACAGATTCATCTTTTATCAATCAAACATCAATATTTAGCATAAATCAGCCAATTAAAAATAATGCACGTTTAATCATTTTAGATCGTATAGATACAATACTAAATATCAACATTTCGAATCAAAACCAAATGATATTAGAAGCTTCAACAGTTTTAACCACAAAATTTTCTAATTTTGTCAATTGCACGGTTTATTTTGAAGATACTTCCAATATGATTCATTTGATGGGTAATGCTACTTTCTTTAAAAACTGTTTTAATAATTTAAGATTCGCTCAACATCGTCAAGGAGAAAATTATTACGTCATTCGATATTATTTTGAACAAGAATCATATCTCAACTTTTCGACGAACTATGTTGCTAATATTGATGAACGAGATTATGTTTTTCAAGTTATGTATCTATTTCTTGAATATAATACACTACAATTTGGTGTAAAAACTCTATGTAACCAGACTCTTACAAACATATCAAATATATTCACAAATGATGTTGAATTTCCTCAATTAGAATTTTTAGAATGCAAACTTCCTGAACAGAAACTTGCAATATACATCATTGTTTTGATATCAATAAGTGGTTTAGTACTTTTATCTATTATTGGTGTCATCTTTATCATTTTCTTCAAGAAGAGAAGGATAACTCAATTAGAAAGGAGACTATCAATTAAAACACAAATTGTTAATGATTTTGGATGATATTTTTATCATTCAACTTTTTAACTAGTCAAACTAAAAATTTATTGTTTGTTATAAAAATCAAAAGATATATCATTTAACGTGAATTTTGAAATGAATCACATAAACACTCCTAAATTGTTGTTTTCCCCGCATTATCAGTCCTCTGAATGCAAATTCTCTGGAAAACTTCCTATTTACATAATTTTTTTGATACGCATTAGTATGATTTCTATTTTTGTTTTAATAAATATCATACATCAAAGAAAAAGAAAATAGGTAAAATTGAATTAGAAAAGGTTTTGAATACTATAATTGTCTCAATGTTTTGAAATTCGTTGTGGATATCAAAAGAAATTAATATATAACAAACTAATCATCAAAAATTAACATGAATTTGTAATCAAACATTGAGGGCAATAGAACTATGATGGAGAAGAACTTATATGGAAAAAAGGAAAAATCCCGAAAATAACATTTATTATTATAACAATCAAATTATCCAAAATCATTCATTACTAATTTGTCAATATTCTTTCTATCTTGTAAACGTTTATATTTGATATTTTGTGATTTGATAATAAAAACTGAAATAATTGCCATTAAAATGATGGCGCTTAAAATAATAACTATTATTTTCTATACTGCAAACTTAGTCTTAATATCAACATGAACCAATTTTGTATTACAGCCGATTTGTTTCGAAATAGCAAGATCATGTACGTATTCGTATGTATTGATATTGATCGAACAATTAGTAACATTAGAATTGGAAAAGTTGTACGATGATTCAATAAGAAGATAACAATCGTTAAGTTCTAAATCGTCATATTCAAATGTCGAAATTGTTTTGTTATTAGAAATACTGTGAGTATTGTTGTAAATAAAACAACGTGTTAATGAAAGCAATCATTAAACTCAATATTGAATATTAGAAATGTACTAAATGTTACATTTCCTGGACCATGATATGTGTTATTATATATGATGCATTTGTCTAGCTTGATTTCAATTCCAACTATATAACATTGCCCTTGAACTAATGTGTTAGAAGCTATAACGCAATCGGTGAAATTTATATCCTCGAATGAATAAATCAGGTATAATCCCATGTAGTTGTTTGATATGTTACATGACTCGAAAAAATTGTCGTAGAAAATGTATAATGTATCTGGATCAGAAATATAGTTATCTGGAGCGCATTTACAAACTGTAGTTCTTGTTAAACTAGTCAAATAGTTCGAGTATATATAACAGAAATGGCATCGACCTGCCTGACAATTTGTAGATAAAACATTTCTTAAATTCGAATAAGTATTATGACCAACAATATAAATTGCTCCACCACTTGTTTCTTGAGTAAAACTATTCGATGTGCATTGGTCGAACATACAATTTGTAATGAGTATATTAGATGAGAAGCAGCAAATTGAGACAGCTCCGCCGTTATTCGTTGATGAAATGTTTTCAAAAATTACTGTATCAATTATAATTTCGCCTTTCAAATCTTTAATTGTTAAAGGTTTTGAAGCATATTTATTTGTATCAGTAACTGATTCTTTTAAGAGATAATCGAGAATCGCTTCTTCATAATATCCTGAAATAGGAATCGTATTTGTGAAATTAAATAAAACATTTTTCATTGAACAATTTCCAACTGCCATGAAATATACATCTGAATAGCAATTATTGATGTCAACCGTGTATTGTGTATAGAAATATATATTTCTTAGGCAAGAAACGTTTTGAAAGTAAATATTTTCAAAATTGGAATAAGATGTCATGCAAATGAAGGCAGCGGCGGATTTTGATTTAGTAATTGATATGTATTTGAAAAATGAGGATGATGCAGGATCTGTATTCACCCCAGTTAAAAAACATTCGAGGCTATAGCAATTATTCATCAGAAAGTAGGAAATATTGCAACAATAGAACGGCTCATATATTATCTCAGAGACGTTAGCAGCACAGTTGGATATATTGAGATGTTTAATAGTACTATTCGAATTAAAATTAAAAATTACTTGAGGAAAGTATTGTAGATTAAGATGTGAATGCGCGAATGAAATGCAATCTAGCATGTTTGCTTTATCTGACATATCGACTGAAATACGTGTGCAAAATGAATTATAAAAATTTGACTTTGTAAAATTAAACCTATTTCCCTTATTACATAATACCCCGCTCCTAGAGGTAGAGTAGCAACCGTAGAAAAAACAATTACTGATCTTGGAATCAATTTTTTTTGATGTAACATAGATATAAGCGTTATCATCATTGATCGAACTGAGCCTTACAAAGTTGCAAGACATTACTTCGACGTAGCGGTCGAATAAAACATAAATTGGCCAATAAACTGTTTGGTGTGACAATGGATAGAATAAAAAAAAATGGTTAATTTTCAAACAAATTTGATTGTTACTTAACATTGAAACCTGGATCTTTTTTTTTTCAAAGTCTCTCTGAAAATTTCAATCATACTAATTTTATATCAAGTTCTAATGTAACTTGTACATTATAGATATCTTGGATTTAAATAAACCTTAAAATTCGATAACCCGAATTGATATATAAAATGTCGGAAGCAATACTCAACAACTCAACTTCTAGTAGGATTAGTTTTATCGCAACTAAATATAATCGATTTACTATTAGAATTTGCTTATTCATTCATCTTACAAAGGATGTTCTCTATGGTGCCGCAATTTATATACATCGAAATATCTCAGAATTGCAAGTAACGCATACCGTTTTTGCAAGTTGTAAATCTCAAAAGTATGGTGGATGTATTTATACAAACGGCAATATAAATTCGAAAATTTCCTACGATTCATTTTTTGATTGTAAAGCAAATTTTGGTTTATGTGCTTATTTCAAAGATGGATCAGCTGAAGTTCAAAATTGCATGAGTGTGCCAAGCAATGATGAGTACAATGCAATGTTATATCCTTTCTCATTTTACAAATGTCAAAATAAAGTCGATAAGGTGAATATTTCTCGATTTAACCTTCAATGTAGCGGAATTTATATAAGCAGCTATGAATTTACGGTTAAAAACTCTTACTTTATCGATTTGAAATCAAAATATTATAATTTTCAAGTCTTTTTGAGCAAATATGATTCGAACGGATATTTCAAATGCTTCTTCATAAATATTACTAATGCTACATGTATGTATTCCTCAAAAAAACTTTTAATTTCCGAATGTACCTTTGATACAGTCATTTTCAAAGATAATCCATCAGAAATACGGCTTCACAAATGTAATATCATTAATTGTACCATAGGAAAAGGCTTTATTTTAGAAGATTGTTTTAATGAAAGTATTCCTCACATAAAAGTTGATGAAACATTCATAGAAAGCAATATAGAGAAAATCTCTCGCAATAAGACATACATATATCATAGAGAGCCAATAATCAGCCATTTAAGTTATAATAATTTAATTATTGACAAATGTCATTTCCAAAACATCACAAACGGTATAAACTCGGGTACATGTATCATATGCCAAGATTCAATTCGTAATATTGAGATCAAAAATTCATTTTTTTATCAAATTAAAAACGTTTACGGTTATCAAATCTCTCCGAGCACTATTTATATTAGTTGTTATAAAACCATCATCACTACATCCGGGAATTGCTATTTAGAAAGTACAGGAACGTTTTTGTTTGTAAGAACTTCGAAGATTATGTCGATTTTTTCATTTATCAACCAAACATCGACTACAAACTTGAATCCTATTGGTTATCTGGAAAAGAATACTTTGGAATTGCAAAATGCTCCTTTTAATGTGAATATCAACACATCAAATCAATACCAAAGAATTTTATTCAGTGACAACAAATTGATTTCGAAATTTTCTGTTTTTTCAAACAATTCCATTAATTTTTTGGAAATTTTGTATCATATTTACTTCAAGAACTCAATGATTGCTTACATGAATTGCTTTAATAACTTGAAATTCAAAGAACATGATGAAGAAAACCAATATTGTGTCATTAGATCCAAAAAAGATGATTCTGTTTTGAATTTTTCAACAAATTTTGTTTCTGAAATTGATGAAAAATCATATTTGTTGGATGTCGATCATGTTTATCTTGAATACAATACGTTCCAAAATGGAATTAAACTGCTTTACGAGAGTTTGCTTTCTAATGAATCGAATGTTTATACTGAAAATGTTGTTTTTCCAAAACTTGAATTTAAGGAATGCAAAATCACAGAGCAGAAACTTGCTGTTTATGTGATTGTTTTGATTAGTATTGGTATTGTTTCAATAATAGTTGTGTTATCTCTCATTTCCTATATATGTTATAAGAAAAGAAAAATCGGTAAAATGCAATCGGATTTAATTCTTAAAACCTCGATTGTCAGTGATTTTGGGTGAATATTTTTTATGTTATTTTGTTTGTATATGTAAATATTATCATGTTTTTATAGAATATCCAATAATTTTATCTTGATTACTTTCAAGGATACTGCATTTATTTCATCTCAATTAGAACATGTAATCTATTTTTAATTGTGTGCCCTGGCAATTGAGTGACAAGAATTGTGTAATCTGATAAGTTCGGAAGAATTTGATTTGGTTATTCCAGTAATGAAGATTGAAGATAGTATTGGAATAAAGAGTCTATTCATGAATATGAAATACGCTTGGAAACAATCTGGATTATGTTATGGCAGGCCATTTCAGATTCAATCAGATTCATTGAATGGCATATGGCTCAAAACCAAGAACCAAGCAACGAACAAAAATAAATCGAGATTGTTGATGAAATTGAGAAACAAAACATTGATGGATCAAGGAATATGTTTCATGCAATGGATTCCGAAATCCAAGAAAGGTATGGTGAAAAAGTTGCTGTTACAGTTGCAGTAATCCTTTATATTATGAGAAATTGCAAAAATCAAGTTGATGAGCGAAATTATTGCTCAAGACAGCTTATTTCTTCTTAATGAAAGAAGTCAACAGTCAGCATTAAAATCAATTACAACATGTAACTGTCAATGCTTTTGCATCACATGCAAAATCCAATATATAGAATAAATATATATATGCTATTATATAACGTGAAATGCCTAACAGTAATGAGCATTTGTTGTTTTTATTCGTTACATAAAAAGTCAAGATATAAATAAATACTTTAGTTTATTCTAATATAAATAAAAATAAATTAAAAAATTAGTTTCCGTTTTCATCTACGACTTTTGTCAAAATCCTATTAGACTCTGACAATTTGATACCATTTCCGCAAAGTTTAGACTGTTCCATTATCAGAACCGCCCATCCATCACCAAATCCACCACTATCTACTGTAACAGGAACTATTTCAATCTCATCAGGGTTCAAATTACCAATCTTAGTTCCAGTAAGAGAGCAGTGAACTAAAGAAGATCCGCAGCTATTTACAATTGGTCTATCAGTAAATACATTGCATCTTGTTAATGAAATATTCGAAGGACCTCCATTAGAAAGAGCAGAACAAACAAACAAAGCAGAATTTCCTGGCAAATCATTCTCAAGTTTGCCACCAATGTTTGCTTCAATGTAAACATTGTTTATATACAAAGTTCCCAATCCATCAATCATTGCACGACTTGGATCGATTTTCTCGCAAACTTCATTGAAATCAGACATAATAATCTTTGATTTCTTTCCTTCTCCTTCGATCTTGAGAGTTTGGAAGCTGTGCAAGTTAATCTTTGCATTCCAAGTTACTCTGCAATTTGCTGGGATATGTAATATAACAGTTGTATTCGTCTTTAATTTGTCTTTTGCAATTTTTCCGATATCTTCATTTAATTCAACAGTTATTGTTGTTAATTTCTTCTGCATTTCTGTTTCTCCTTCTTCTGTTTGGCTTCTCTTTGATGCCTTCTTTATTGATTTATCTCCATAATTAGTGTATATTTCATTAACATTGTTTTGAATGAAAGAAGACATTGTTTGTCTAAATTCATCAATAAATGAAATTGCTTCATCAAACTTGACTCTCAAACCTTCGATTTCTTTGTTATATCTCTTGATTGACATCAAATCATTGATAGATTGTGAATGATTATCAATTTCTTGTCTTTGTGATTGATTTTCATTCATCAAATTGTTGAGTTGTTTCTCAAGATTTGTGAATTTTTCATTTGATTTGTCATTGTTTTGGTTGATCAAATCTTTAACAATATCTGCATTAGACTTGCTGTCTTTGAGAGCAGAGTTTGCTGTGTTCTGTGCTGTAGTAACTTTCTCTTGCAAATCTTTGAAATTAGATTCATTCTTGTTGTCATTTTCTTCAATTTCTTTGGAATGAGTTTCAACTTTCTTTGAAACATCATTAATTGATTGTTTAACATTGTGTTCGATGTCATCATTCATTTGTGACAATTTGCTTTGTAATCCATTGATGTCCTTCTGAAGAGATTTCTTGTTTTGACTTTGTAAACCATTCAAATCTGAAATTTGTTGTAAAATGTCAGAATTCTTTTTATCATTTGCATCTGTGATTTCTTTGATCTGTTTCTCAAGAGTATTCATATTGTCATCAATTGCCTTTTGAAGAATATTCTCTTGCTCAATCTCCTTCTGTTGATTTGTATCAATTTTGTCATGTAAGGCTGTCAGGTTTTCTTGTAAATCATTTTGTAAATCTTTTTGAAGTTGATTTACTGCTTGTTTGATTTCTTTCGTTGTCTGCTTGTTTGTTGCAATTATTTGGTCAATTGTCTTCTCATCTTCTGCGACTCTTCCTGACAATTGGTTGATTTGGTTCTGCAAATTATCTTTGTTTTCATTTAATTGTGAAGTGAAAAGTGAATTTGCATTTTCTGTCTTTTGATTCAATTTGTCGAATTCATCACTTAACTGTTTGATGTCATTGTTTGTCTGATCTTTAAATTCATTAAGTGAATTGATAATCTTGTCACTTTTTGCATGATTATCTTCGTTATTTTTGTCAATTTTTGTATTCAATGTTTGATTTAATTGGTCAATATTTTGTTTGATGTTTTGTTCAGTGTTTTGAAGAGAAGTCTTTGCATTAGTATCAACAGCAGTGATTTGGAGATTAAGATCATTAATCCTTTGATCAAATTCTGACTTAGTTTTCTGGTTTTCTTCTTTATTTTGTTGAATGTAATCATTTAACTTGGCCTTTTGAGATGAAAATGTTTCTTTGATCTTTTGATTGTTTTCTGCAATGAAATTGTTGATTTCTTGGATATCTTTGCTTGCTGACTTCTTGTTTGCATTGATTGTTTCTGTAAGATTCTGTTCAAGTGAAGTGATTTTAGATGAAAGATCTGTTTGAATTTGTGTCATTTTTTCATCATTTGATTTAACTTTTCCATCAATTTCATCTTCTCTTATTGTTGCTCTTTGTGTCTCGTTTTCTATCTTCTTTGTAACTTTATCTTGCAATGTTGTCATGTCATTTTGATAAGCGGCATTGAATTTCTCAAATTTCTTGTTCATTTGATCAATTAATGTCTTCAACGATAAAAGTGTCAAACCGTCTTCTCCACAAATTGAATTTAAGAAGATATCAAGTTGGTCAATTCTCTTCTCAAGGTTATCATTGTTTTCTTTCATTGTATTTTGCAAATTGTTCTTATTTGTGTCATCATTTTGAACCAAGAAATTGTATTTATCCGTCAAAGATTCATTGAAATTGTTTTGAACAACTGCAACTCTCTTCTTTATGTAATCTTTGATCTCTTGATAGTCTTTAGGAAGTTGTTCTCTCATCTGATCAATCTCTTCCTTGTTTGCGATGTTGTCCATATCGCATTTGATCAAATGCTGGTTAATGAATGTGAATTGGTCATTCAAATATTTGGCAGTTTCATCATTAGCGTGTTGAACAGTTTGTACTTCAAGTTTCACTTCATCTGTCACTTTTGCATTTTGATCATCAACGTATTTTTGTGTTGAAGTTTGTTTGGAATCGATGACAATTAATATTTCATCGAATTTGGATTTCAGTTTCTCATCACTTTGTTTGAGTTTTTCTTGAGTATCAGCGAATTGTGCATCATAAACTTTTACGACTTTTCCAAGTTTCTTTTCCACAGAAGAGATTTTACTTTGGAGATCATTTTGGTCGTTGATCAAATCATTGTTTACTTCATTGATTTTAGCTTTATTTCCTTCGATTTCCTGCAAAACTGCTGCAAGATTTGTATCAGATCCACCTTTGATTGCTTCGATTTCTTTCTGTAAATCAGAAACGTCTTTGGCTTCTTGCTTGTTTTGATCATCTAAAAGTGACAAAACCGATTTCTGATTTGAAGAAACAGTTGATTTAAGTGAATCAATATTTTCTTGGAGTTTTGCGGCTCTTTCTTGCAAACTTTCTTTAATTGAATTGTCTTCGTTGGTCAGTTCACTTTTGTCTTTTTGACATTGATCTTTAAGTTTGTTTAATTGATCAAGAAGTTCTTTCTTGTCATCATCAATCTTCGAAGACAATGCGTTCTCTTGTTTCTCAGTTTTATCAATGAAATCTGTCAAATTCTTTTGAAGATTTGTTATTTCTTCACTTGCTTTCTGACGGAGATTGTCGAATCTCTGTTTGAGCTTCTTCTCGTTTTCGTCAATCTTGGTTGTGATCTCAGGAAGTGTCTTAGTTTCATTTCCAACTAAAACAGTAAATGAATTTTGTAAAGTATTCAATTGTTTCTGTTGATTTGTCAATATTTCATCAAAAGCGTTTGACAAATCAGTTTTCATTGTTCTCATGTTATTATTGTTTTCTTCACTGAACTTATTGAAATCATTTCTCAATTGCGATGATTGTTGGATGTTTTGTTTGTTGTTTTCATCCAATTTCGCAAAGATTTCTGTTCTCATTTTGTTCATTTGGTTTTCATTTGTTGTTTTATCTTCGGAGATCTTCTTTGTTATTTCGTCAATCAAAGAAACTAATTTAGGAATATCAATCTGGCTGTCACCCATCAAAGAATTGAAAATTGTTTCGATTTTACTCATTCTTGCATCCAATTCTTGTTTGTTTTGATCGACAGTCGCCAAAATTGATTTCTTAAGTTTCTCAATCATAGCAATCAGTTCTTGTTTGTTCTGTTCACTGAGCTGTCTGTTTTGTTGTATATCATCACTTTGTTTGGATAAAATTGACTTCACATTTGCAATTTGTTTCAAAATTTCTTTTTGGTCATTTGACAAAGTTGCAAATTGATTGTCTTCTTTAGTTTCAACGTCTTTGATCATAGAAACTAAATCATCATGGAGCTTGGTCTGTGATGTAACAGCATTCGCGATTTGTTTGTCACTTTCTTTCTTGTTTGTTTCAATTAAAAGTGACATTTCGGATTTTTCTTTGTTTATTTGGTCGATTTGGCCTTGAATGTCATTAAACATTTGTTGTACGCTCTGGAACTTTTCTCTCTGTCTTGAAGCGAACTGTTCCTGTTTCTGGGAGAGTTGATCTAAGTCTCCTTTGACTTTAGTTTGTGTTTCATTGATTTCTGAAACTTTTTGAGTGATTTCTTTTTCAGTTTCTTCTTTGTTTTGTTCGATAAGTTCTTTAACTGATAATATCTCTTTGTCAATCACACCTTGTGTTGTTGTTTGACTGACTTTGATATCAGATTCGATCTCTTCTTTCAATGATTTCAGTTTTTCATCAGTTTTTGCAACAGTTTCGCCAAATTTCGCGTCAATTGCTGCTTTGTCAGCTTCGTAAGCAGATTTGAAGTCATTTAGGTCTTTATACAATGACTTAAGGCGTTTGTTGATCTTGGAAACATCAGAATCCTTGAAATTGTCAAGAATTGTTTGAAGAGCTGAAATTTTATCGTTTAATTCGGCAACTGACTTTGTTCTTTCGTCTTCAAGTTCGGCCTTTGTATCAGTAACAAGCTTTTCGAGCTCGTCGTGCTTGTTTTGTATCTCTTCATGGACATTTGCAAATTCATCGTTTGTAGATTTGACAAATGACTCGTGAGCCTTCTTGGATTCACTTATATCATCTGATAATCCCTTAAACTGTGCTTGAAGGTTAGTCTTATACTGCTCAAATTGATTATTGATATCATCAATCTTTGATCCTACTTTTTGATCAATTGAAACAACTTTTTGGTCAATGTGGGCTATGTCTGTCTCCATTTTAGTTATTTGTTCATGGAAAACATCAATCTTATCTGATAATTCTTTGATTGACTCAAGTTTCGTATTAATTTTGTTGATTGCTTTATCCTTTGATTGCAAGTTCTTCTCGATATCAGCCTTGTATTCTGCAAAAGCCTTGTCTGTGTTAGATTTATCTTCTTTAATTGCTGCAATTTCCTTATTGATGTCATCAATCTTTTCGTTAACAGTGTTTATATCGTTCTGTTCCTTTTTGGATAATGATTTCTCCAAAGCTTCGATCTTTTCGGTTAATGATTCTAAGTTTTGATCAATTTGCTCTTGAAGATTTTCTTCCTTCTCTTCAAATGAGCGTATATATGTGGAATGTGTCTCCAATAACTCGTCATGCTTAGCTAATAATTTGATAACTTTATTATTGACCGTATCATTAACTTTTGTAATAAATTCTTTATTTTCTTGTATTTCTTGTGTGTTTTTATCGATGTCTTCGCGTTGCTTTTTGTCAACTTCTTCAATATTTGTAATTGAAGTTAAAATTTGTTGAACATTTTGATTGATTGGCGCTACAGCTTCATCTGTGTACTTTGTTGCTTTCTTCAATGCTCTAACAGCATTATCCTTTGCATTCTCGAGCAATTCTGACTTCATTGATTCAAGTTTCGGATCAATAGAATTCAAGATTTCTTTAATCGCAGCAATCTGATCGCTTAAACTTTTATTAACACCTTGTGTTTCTTGACTTGCTTCTTCTCTTTTTTCATCGATTAGTGCGAGAAGTTGCTGTTTCTCGATATCTCTTTTCGATTCAAAGGATTCGAATCTCGTATTAAGTAATTCGATATTCTCTTGTGCAGAAGCTATATCTTTGTCGTGTTTATCTAATTGTTGATGAAAATTCGTTGTGTCGGTTTTAAGCTCATTCACTGTATCTATAACACCATCCATGTATTTCATCATCTTTTTAAGGTCTTTCATCTTCTTATTCATCTCACTTTCAAGATTTGTAACGTTAATGACTTCATTTTGAAGATCATCAAGACGTTTTGTTAATTCATTATAGTGATCATCCTCACGCCTGTTCAATGCCTCAATCTGAACTGCCAGATTAGTCATTGATTAACAGACTTAAGGAACTTTTTTAATGGCTGAATTCAATCCTTGACAAAAATTCACAAAAGGAAATAATTTTTTAAATTTATGTGATATTTTAAAACATCTTTATAAAATGGGTGTTATTCTTTTTGACTACTTTCAATTTTCCTTCGGCATTGAAAAATTGATCAAACATATATCCTATGATGGTTTTATGATCTCTGTAGAATGTATGATTCAAATATAATGGAAAGCCTGATTTTTGTCAAGGCATCTAATTATCATATTCTATATTTCGACTTTTTCATATAGAAATTGCTTTTTATTCAAGATAAGTAGTTAATATTCCAATTAATAATGTCATTGATTGCAGAATTTTAAATGTTGTCACTTTTTGTGCCGAATATCAAAGATTTTTTGCATTCTATATGATTGGTATGAAAACTAGGCTCTCTTTTTATGAAATCTGCACGACATGAACCTAAGAAATAGAGGAAGCTTGTTAGGTTAATTTATTTTAGTTCGTGAAAAAAAATGCCAATACTAACGTTCATCCCTCCACTAGATGTGGATTTGAAACAATTGATCGAAGAAAAGGATCTACAGAGTATACAAGAAATAGAAGCAATAGAGTACCATGTATCTACTTTAAATGGAGATTTGAACTATTTTCAAATAGCTTGTTTATATGGCTGCTATGAGATTGTAGTATTCTTTAGTAAAATTAATAGATACATACATCTTTCGATTGATAAGTACGGAAATAATGCTTGTTTTTATGCAGCACTCTCAGATTCAGAAGAAGGAATACAAATTCTTCTTTATTTTGCAGAAACATACGGTGATGACTATATAAAACATCGAAATCATTTGAATTTAAACTTGTTACATATATCTTGCTTAAGAAAACTTCCAAAAACATTAGAATTTATCTTAAAACACCAAATACATAATTTTGACTTTCAAGATAATCAAAATACTTTTAATAAAACTGCAATTAGCTTTATAATTCGCAATAAATCATTTGAAATGCTAGAAAAAATAAATGAAATTTTATTTAAAAATAATAATAACATTAAAACGATTATTGGTATTATTGAAGAACTAAGTCAAGCTATAAATGATTTCAAAGCAAAGATACCGAGAAGTCAAATACCAATTTTGAACAACCATGAAATTGAGAATATTAATCAACTCGAATCTAAACTTGAACAAATTCTAACAGGACCTCAGCATCCAAATCAAAACATAATTTTACAAGAAAATACTTTTCAGATTATTTTAATAAACGAAGCTAAAGAAGAGTATAAAAAAGATATCGAAGGAATAAATCTCTTCAAGCCTAAGAGCATGTCATACCTTAGCATTCCTTTATCAATGCAAAATATGTTGCCACCATTAGAAAATCCTGAGAGCCCTGTTAAAAAACGTCAACCAACAAAAATTCCAAAGAGCCCTGTTAAAATACATCAACCAATTATTCAAAGATATTTCAGTAATTCAAAGAAGAAATGATATGATTTTGTATTTCGTGTAAATTCATTGCAATAAATACTTTGAGCAAAATGAGATTTCAGATTTTAATAAATGAATGAAGTCTTATCAATGTGTGAAAAAGATATTGGAATAACAACAATTCCCAAAAGCCACAAATAGTGCCAAAGAATGAATCTGATTCAAATGCATGCAAATATTCTAGAAAAAAAAATATAATCAACATTAAAGAATTCCCAAATTACCGAGAGAAATCAAAAGGAAAAGTGATATAATCTTATTGTTCATGTAAAATATAAATGTTGTTGATATGTTTAATTAGAAAATTAAAAAATTCGCTATTTTATTTCATATATCAATCATCGTTATTACTCACATATGAGATGGAATCTATTATATAGCGGAAGGACAAAAATGAACTGTAAGATTTCTTGGACAAAATTGTTTTTAAAATTGGTTAACTTTGATGTCATTGTTGAATCTTAAATCCATTGAATATAGTTATATAGATATAATTAATTAATTTAATAAAATAAAATAAAATAAAATAAAAACTAATAGTAATATCATTATTAATAGAAGTTATTAATATTTGTAATTAAAAATTTGAGGCCAATTGAATTATTCAATTGTTATGAACGCTATTTATTTTTTTGTATTTTAAATTAGTGCATAATAACTTTTTATTCAAAATCATTAATTATCAAAATGTCACTCAAAAGCGATAACTCCCAAATGTCATAATATGCCTGAATTAAAAAGTTGATATTTATTTAAAAACAATACTACACTTAACATGAGTAATTAGATTACAAAGTTTAAAAACGTTGTTCGATATACTTGAGGATATTGATTTCATTATTGGTCGTTAGTCCTAAAGATAACGAATACTAATAATTAGTAAGTTTTTCTAAACTATAATGGGAAAAAATTATTTTTACTGTTATTTTCTTTCAATTTTCAATCCGATATAAATTGAAAATTAATTCAAGATGGCCTAGGTTTACTTATTTGATTCGATTTTACAAAGCCCGATCAATCTGATCATTTTATGGATTCAATTTCTTTCAATTTTGTCAAAGATTAAATTTTTGAACAGTCATTCTGAACAGCAAAGAATTTTATATTGTAATAAACAGAAATTCATCAAAAGTGACAGCTCTCCATTTTTTGACATTTGTAAATTCTAAATTGAATGAGAAAAATGAAATAATACTAAGCATAATACATTATTCTAGATTTAATTATAATTAGGAAAAAGTTAGTTTTGAGAGTACTTTTCATAGGCATATAGAATGAAATCTTCTGAAAAATAATATCACATAAACTCATATTATTTTCTAATATATAACTATTTTATATAAAAATCAAATTCAATGATCTTAAAAGCGAAGGATAAACCTCAAAATTTACGAATATAATGAGTGGGAATATAATGCTTATCTATCATAAAACCATATGAAATATCAATTTTTGCTTTACGCCTAATTTTTGACGACAATTAGCAAAAAATGTTAAATGTTAACACTCAGTCCATTTGAATATGAAAAATAAAATTGACTTTGATTAAATGTTTTTATTTATCATGCAATTCTTCTTGCGACCAAAGATTTGAATAAAAGTTCAAAAAAAAAGATAGCTTAAAAAATAATATACGGTAGTGTTTACTAATAGATGAATAGTATATAAATTCTATTAAAATGGATTTGATCCAAAAAATATATAAAATTTGATCATAAATAAAATCGTTTTAAATTACTTCTTCATTTAAATTATAACAATTATTTTTGATTTTATAATTTCTCCCTCAGAGTTCAGTCTCTGGAGAAATTAATTCAGGACAAGCTCCAGAAATCCACGCTCGTGAATCGGATGATAATGCCAACATCGCATTCGCAGATAACGGCAAAGTTCCTAAGAAGAAGAATTCGAAAGGAAAAATATTTTATATATTGTATAGTGATTTTTTTAATATTTTTAACTCCAATTATTAATTTTAATCCTTTATGCAATCATTAATCATTAAAGCTTTTACACTATGCCATCACAATATAGTTCACTCAATATTTCAAATAATTATATCAAAATAATTTATTACGAATAAATTCAGTGAATTTCGACTGCAAACATGATGGTATACTAGAATAAATATCGATTTCCATGAACTATTAACTGCCAATACGTTATCTTTTAAATGGTGCAAATAGTTCTAAAGATTATAATACCAAAAAAATTGTTGAGTTTCGACTGGAGAAATTTGAATAGTCTTAGAAAAACCAATATTGAAAAGATTAACAAATGTGGGTAAAAAATATTGCTAGATACTGAATTATCTTTTAAGAATATCTTGTTTTCGAGCAAACTTTGACTCCTCCGGAAAATTTACAAATAATGTTTTGCTTAGTTACTCTAAGTATCTCCGCAGGAAACTTAGGTGGTCAATATTTGGAAGTTAAGACAACTCCAAATTCGTTAATTGCGCCCGTTGATATCAGGTATAAATATCTTGGCGCAAATAGAAATATTAAATATGGTACTACAAGGCAAAACATGGGATGGTCGCCAATGGTTGAACTTGATCGAAAAGAGAGATTCTACGTCAGTGGCGCCAATGGTGGAAACATGACCTATAAGGACACGGTTAAAATTACTACAGAATATGGTTTTCCATTTGAAAGAACTCAAAATCATCTTCTATTGAAATTTACAATTACAAATATTGACCCAGAAGAACCACATCGTATTTCATTTTCTCTCTCTTCAACAGTTAGTATTGATGGTCAACTTAAATCGAAAATCTCGTGGTATGGAGGGAAAGGAAATGAAAAGAGAGGAATGTTATGGGAACAAGACAATAATATCTATCCGAAACTATACGTTATTGCCAAAAATTGTTATGGTGTTGATGATGTTGATGATTTTTGGTTCGGCCCAACTAATTCAAATCACAATCATCACTTCGAGTATGCTAGAAATGATACGAGTCCCTCAAAATTTGAAGAGAACTCTTTCTCTTTAACATGGAGAGATAGAATTTTTGAACCAAATACATCCTTAACAGTTGGTGTCATGGTTTGTGTTGGTCTTGAGGACTTACATATCAATCCAGCTTATATTACATTTGATCCTGACATTCCTACCAACTACGACTTAAATTCATCTATTGCTATTTCAGGAAACGTTACAGAAGTGGATGATGAAAGTGAAGTATCATTCTTTTATAAATTATATACAGACAGAGATCTCGAAAATAATTTACCAGTACAAGCACATCTTTATCCATCTGGTACAACAAAAGGAAAAGTAAATTATCATTTCAATATTGAATTAGGAAATCTTCCTGATTATGTGACTAGATACAAAGCAGAACTTTGGTGTACCGATAATTCCACATATAATAATGTTCAATATCATCTAATTTCTAACATGGCAACTCACTATTATCATGTAAACCATGTTCCTCTTCTAAAATATGTTCAAAACATTCCAACAATTTTTTACACAGGAGGATATATTGAATTTGCAGGCGAAGTTTGGGATGATAGATCTCTACGAGTTAGATATCAGTATGATGAAGATGGTCTTCCTCGTAATATAACAAGAGAATGGATACAAACAAACAGAGTTGCAAAATATGTCAGGCGCTCATTCAAAATTAGAAGTGATCTCATTAACTATGGAAAACATACACTTTATCTTTGGGCAGAAGATGATTATGGATTTAGATCTGATTATATCAAACATGATTTCTATTATTATGAACAACTGGCACCTGAAATCAAATTCACTGATTATGATGAAACAGTAAAACTATTTGATCCCGAAAAGATGAAAGAATTTGAAATTGGAGTTTCTGTATTTGATAAAGATAGCGAACAAACAATCATAATATATCAAAGAAGCCCAGAAGATTCGATTTCACAAAGTGCACGTCCAGTTTATTCATTAAATTCGGGACCTGAATGGCAAAATGTAACATTGAATTATGAAATTCCAAAAGGTGTATTGCAATATAATACATCTTATTCCATTATTTTTAAGGCATCTGATAGTTTAACAGCAACTTCAAGAGAAATTGAATATAAATTTAAGTTGTTCAGCGAATCAGATCCAAATAAAAATGGAACATATGGTGAAAAGCCGCAAATTGGCAAAAAAGATGAAACAAAAGATAATCTGATGGCAATAGATAGCACAGCTCCAAAGAAGAAGGTTGACTGGAAATGGATCATAATTGGAGTTGCAATTGGACTTATAGTATTAGTTATTCTTATTTCTATTATTGTTCTTGCATGTGAAGCAAATAAGAAAGCAAATGAATTCTATTTCGATGAAGAAAACGAAAAATTCGTAACAATTGATGGAAATATGGGATTCACGAATGAAAATCCAATTTATGATCCTGGAAAAGACAATGATCCATTTGCAAATGAATTTGATGAAAATCAAGCAGCAAATGATAATGTGTTTGAACCGCCTCCTCAACCTTGAAATTTTAATAAAATTCTCTAGTTTTATGTTCTTATTTAAATTCAAAACATATTTAAACATGTATTCTTGGCTTAAATCCATTCATTGTAATGCTTTGGAATAAAAAAAAAGAATTAATAAATTTATATTTATATAAATATAATATTAATTTAAATTAATAATCTATTTATTCTCTAATACAAATAATAGTTCTATATACATACAAAAATAAGAAATATAAAATTAAATATTATTTTGTTTGATTGAATTATTCAAAATGAACGTATATATCTTCTGGTTGATATAAAATTCTCCATTCCTGAAGCCTGTTATGATTGATTTGATAATTCCGACATCAATTTCTGAAATTACGCCGTTTGCTTGAACACCTTTGAATCCTTTCCTAATCAGAGCTGATTGTAGTTCAGTAACAAAGTGTACAAGCGCACTCTCAGCATCAGACAAATTCACTCGCCATTTGTCAGTAAAAAGTGACAGTAAATTTTCTTTCAATTCAATTGAAGGAAATTTTACAAGCGAAGGAGTCATCAACAACAAATTTGAGATTATCGAGACATCACCATTATGTGAAGCCATGTCTCCGTCATTAACTTTTATCATCTTCCTGTCTTGTGCCTCATCGATATCCCATGTAAAAATCGTTCCGTCAACTGTTGGAATTGTCATAAATTCTTGTCCGAGTTTTACCATTGTTTCTGTTGCATCTTCTGAGATCTTGAACTTGTATCCTATTGCCGTATCAGCCTGGGAACCTGTATACACGAGTACCGCGCTCACAACAGTGTTCTTGAACCGAGGAAACGCGTAGACCGTGAATCTTGGCAATATAATGTGTCCTTCATCAACTCTTGACAAACCTTTGTTTTCTTCGGTTTTGTCGAAAGGAAAAATGAGAAAAGGAGGAACTCTGATTTGTCTTGTCTGCACAAATTCAACGGCACTGGATAGCTGTGTCTTCAAATATTTATACCTGGCAGACATCAAATCTGTAACTGCGAAGTTATCCATCATTTTTATAAGTGTTGGTAAATGTAATAATTTCGCATTAACAATACAAGCGACGAAGAACTGGAATAGTTCATCGGCGCCGACTTCCATGCCTTCCTTTACCATAGCGGTCTTGAGCCAGTCAATGGCTTTAGAGATAATGACAAAGGATGATGTTGTTGATATAGAAACTGGAATTTTTCGGAGTAAAATCCAAACATGGTTCAGTTTTTTAAGGGGCATCTCAACGCCATCGTCATCAAAGCATAGGGAAATGGTGTTGGGTGGTGTGTATTCAAGTGGATCGTAATAATCTTGATTAGGTTGGAAATCAATATTAAATAAATCTGATTTCTCCTTGTTTATACTTAAACTCGAGATGCCACCTGAAATTATGAGTTTGCAGTTCTGGAAAAATTGGACATCTGTAAGAATATAGTTCTTAAACATCGTTTTTTGATCTGATAATTTGATATCTCCGACAAAATAGTCAAGAATTACTTCTGAAACGACCATTTTTACGTATGGATTGAGATTTACATGCTTAAGGAGTTTGAATACTTGCGATATCGTCTTTTGAAAGTTGTCAGGAGTAAATGAAAACATGATTTTCATGAGATCTGTGAAAAATGATTGGTCAAACATCAGTGGAAGTATGGCATCGAATGGAAAAAACTTAGAAACTGATTCTACTGCTTGGTCTGATGTTGTCACATTTTTAGGTAAAGGGATTCCTGTAATTTGCGACAGTGCTTCTTGATGCTCTTTGATAACTTCTATAAAAAACGGAATATCAATTGATTTTAATGCATACATGTGAATGCTAATTGCTTGTTTAAAAGGACATACTTCTTTTACCATTTGTTTCATTACTTTAACGTAATCTACAAGCTTAATATAGAATTGTTGATGCGCACGATGCTCCATTACAATAACATCAATTTCATTTTGATCTAAACCTGGAATTTTCGAAATGACATCAATTAGCTGTGAATCAATGATGGCAGCGCAATCAATTTGATACATAAGTCTGGTTGCAGCTTTAATCAAAAACTCACTGGCATTCATAAAAAAAATTGGATACAAAAAAAATTCGAATGGTGTGTCATTCCACATAATATTTTAATGATATGGTTTAATAAAGAAATTATCATTCCTATAAAGAAATAATTATAATGATTAGCTATTGGTTTTAATCAATAACTTTCATGATCATCACTAGATATGCTATCCAAATATAAAAGCAATCTGGATATTATCATATAACAAAATATTATGCTTACTTTATACTATTTAATGGTGCATATCTCATACTTGGATAAACACCATATATCTTAATGCTACTTGATTTAGGTTCCCGTGTCAAAAAAACTGAACTGGGATTAAATTTCATTTTCATTCGATTATTTTTACACAGTGATTCCAAAATAATAGACATTCAAATGTCCAAATTATAATTTGATGAAAATATAAAAGGTGACAAAAATGGGGAAACAAATTCTACAACTTGAACTAACGAACTTAAGCTTCTTGGTGACCGAAGAAGAACTTAAAGAGGCCTTTTCAAAATGCGATAACCTTACAGATATCAAAATTCACAAAAACTCCGTTGGATTATCGAAAGGAAGAGGAACAATTAAATTTTCCAAAATCAGTTCAGCAAAACAAGCTCTGAATACGGTAAATAATCTAAAATTAAAAGGAAGACAAGTAAAAGGTAATTTATTTGTTATTCAAAAACCACAACCTCCTAAATCAACATCAACTGCTAATCTAAATGCTCAAAATCTACCTCCTCCGATGTTAAGGCCGTCACCTCCTCCACAAAACCAGTCTAGAATTTCTCCACCTCCATTACCATCTCAGCAGAGGTTCCCACGCGAAAGATCGAGATCTCCTTTGTATCAAATGTTAGATGACAGAGTTAGAGGTGACTCCCCACGTAGACGCGAAAGAGATTACAGAGACCCATATCGTAGGGAGATTGATGATAGAGATTTTCGAGATAGAGATGACCGCCTAAGGCCATCAAGAGATAGAGATGATGATCGTGATAGGCGTCATGATAGAAGATAACTCTTTATTATTTATTATTAATACTTTTCATAAAAATTGTTAGTTGTCAACTTGATTTATACTTGAATTTTGATTTTTTATTCTCTTTAATCAATTTATAAATGAATAAATTGAGATTTTTTTCTTTTTTTGAATAATCATTTGAAATATTTCGGTTTGTATTATCATTCCCGATTTGGTTACTCGTTAGATCATCTGTAAAAGCATTAATTCGGTGTGCCCAGCCGACGATAGGTAAAACTTATTGCAATGTGTGGAATTGAAAGTTTAGAAGCATCCATTATATTAATCTTAATAGCGCTTTTTTGAGAGTGACTTATCGTCAATCTCACACCCTTAAAAGATCGTAAAAAATTTAAATTAAATTTTAAAAGGTGATCTTATAATAGTTACAGTTTTCAATAAGTTCTCTACCATCTTCGGAAGATTGTGATACCTTTTAATATCATATTTTATCGATGTCATAGATATTTATTTATGTGCAAAAACATTACGGCCTTTAATTTCGGTATAAAGGTGGCACCTGAGTACTAATAAATTGTTGCCAAAATTTATATGTAACAAAATTGACAAAAAAAAATGAATGAACCCATTCATGACCCAACACCTATTGAAATTGAAACTCTCAAAGGATTATTTTTAGAAACAGGGCTAAACCCTGAAGCAAATCTGGAATTAAAAAGAATCGCAAGCCAAGATCAAATTCAATTTTTTTATTCAACTTCAAAAATCATCTCGTCACTCCCAATTCCTAAAAACGATGAAAACTCTGATTCAAATGAATACCGTATCTTTAAAATCGCAATTTCATTGATCACAAGTTGTCTCAAACCATTTCAGAATTATGATAGAGATATAGATCAAGAATATCTTAATAGAGTCGTTTCTTCTATTCATAATAACATTTGTATCACATTTTATAACATTTTAGGGTGCCCAATAGATGAAATTCGATCTCAAGCAGCTGTTATTGCTTCACAACTTATAAGAATTGACTTAAAGCAAAAAAGGGAAGCAAAATTTGGATTTTCTCAAAAACTTATGGATGATTTTAAAAACACCAATGATAATTTTATTAAGTTAGGAGATCTCGAAACTTTTATATTATGCATCGAAGAAGATACAATTAATAAAAAAATTAGAGAATATCGAATTTTCGTCATGAATTTGTATGAAATTACTCCCATTATTTTTAATTCAAATATTTCTAAGAAAAACAAGATCATTTGCTTAAAAACTTTTCATCTTTTGTTCACAAAAATTAAATTTGAAAGAGTCAAAAAAGACCTAGCATTTAACTGCTTGACTTTATTATTAAAAGAATTCACAGCAAAGCCAGATTCTATAGAATTTTACACATCATTGTGTTCAGCTACCAAAGCTATAATCTGTTATTTGATTCCATTTATGACACAAGACATATTTGATCAATTACTCGAAGTAATTAGTTTGAATTATCTTGATGGGGAAACAGATTTGCAGTTCCTCGCAATGCGAATCAAAATTTGGAAAGCTATTATAAAAACCGAAAAAGAAATACGACAATCTAATTTTTTGCAGCAAATTGCCACTAATCTTTGCGATGGCCTTCTTGAAACGATTTGTGCCGGAGATTATTCCAATTGTGCTAATGTTGACACTTATTTGGCACAGTATGAAGCTCTGAAAGCTCTAAAAATTCTTGGAGAGATGATTCCAGAATATTTGGTTAGTAAAGCTTTCGAAATTTACTCAGAAGTTAGTACAGAAAATTCTAACCAAGTTGTTTTATCCATGTGTATATTGCAAGTTTTGATTCAAATAAATGAAATTAGTGCACACGAAATTAAAAGGCATATGGATCAAGTTTTTGAAATTTGTCAGAATCCAAATATAGATGCAAATACAAAAAATGCATGTCTTAATGTAATGCATTCATTTATCGAATGCAGATTAAATGACGATGAAAACAAAGTTGAAATAATCGAAAAACTGTTTGCAACATTCGATATCTTATTCCAATCTGGAAATATCCAATTATACTCTAGTATTTTCAAAATATTGGTGGTTTTCTTCGGAGTTTTCAAGCATCTTGACTATGATTCTTATGTGCAAGTGCATGCATCTAAATTATACGAAAAAATTGAACAGTATTTGACAATTTCTCAACACACAAACAATGTGGAATTAATTATAGCTGGATACAAATCTTTGTACGATTTTGTAAAAACTTTAAACTTTTCGGACTTCATTATGCGTATATACTCGATTTACGCACAGAAGTTTCAAGAACATGCTCAGCAGTTTATTCAAACTAGAGGAATATCAGGAGAAACAGGAATTTTTGAAGGAATTTCTCTTGTTCTGAGAGCAATCTCAGTTAAAATGATCCTCAAAGTTGAAAATGAAGTTTTCATTGATATTATAGAAATAATATTCCAAACACTTGAAGTTTCGCTAGAACCTTACTTGATTAATCTTTTAGCTCAGCTAGTTGCATGTTTGGGACCGGCTTCATCAAATTATGACGAAAAAATATGTCAGATCTACAATTCCTGTATGGAAACAAACAACCTTTTAATCATTTGTAGCTGTTGCAACCTTATTTCCATTACATTCGAAGAAGCTAACCAGCAAACCAATTATTTGAGAACTGTAGCTATAAATATTTGGGATTCGCTTTATTCCTTCTTCACAAGCAACTATCCTGGAGACTTAGAAACAGATTATTTCAACTTGATCTTACATGGCCTTACAAGCATGATTTCATTTTTGCCACCCCAATATTTTGTTGAAAAGAGAGATAATTTCTTCAATTCACTTGACTCGATCACAAGAAATATCCCTAGGTTCAAGAAAATTGACTTCGGCGATGATGATTATTTGGTAACTTTGGCACTTCTTTTCCAAGGTTACGGCAAAGTTATTGAGATGTACAGAGAAGATGAACATTCATTAATAATGGATCGAAATAGACAAAATGAGAGCTTTCTTTATGCAAATCGCCAAAGATATACAACTTTATTCAAAATTGCTGATGAAAACTTTGATTACAACAGTTCAAAAAATGCTGATAATATGGTTGCTGCTTTCTTAATATTCTTGGATGTATTGATCAAAGGAATTGGCCAATCAATTTCGCTGGAACTCAACGCCAAATGGGTTAGGAAATTGTTTGATTTTGCAAGCAGTTCTACAAATCGCTTTATCAATAATCAAGCATATCATATGAGAGAGAGATATTTAAACTTATAGAGAATGTCTATAAAAGGTACTATTAATCATTACTTTTTAACTATATTTTGACTTGAATTATCATGGGTTTTAATAATAATCATATTTTCCTACGTGTAAATTAATGTGATTTATTGTGCAGAGATCAGGTTCTGTAGAATCACCTAATTGTTAAGTGTTAAAGATGTCTCAGGATGAAAAAATCTGATGGTCATATTTGGGATCTTAGAACTGTACCGAAATTTTTTTGCATTGCTTTTTTTGGGATCATAGAGTTGAGATCTAGCTTAATGGTTGAATTATATTGGGCAGTTCTGGCTACAGTATATATGTGTGTACATAAAATTGCTGAAATTTATATAAATATGCCAATTATGTTTCATATAATAATTTATACATATAAACATATTTTAAAAACAGAATGATATCAAGTTTAGATCATTATTAAAATATGTATGACCTTTGTATCATACTCAAGAATAGAAGACTATTTTAATGAAATTCCATCATTTTATGCTGTTTATGATAATATTTTATGTTCGTTTTATAAATTATTGCATGCACACAACAAATTCATGAAGAATTTCAAATAATGGAAATAAAAGGATGCCGTTTATAAATTTTCGCCTCACGCTTGAAAAATGTTGAAGAAGAATGCGTCTTTATCAAAGTTATTGAGCATGGATCTTGATCCAGACCTTCAGAGCCCATCTGATATATCAGAAGATGTGAATGCTGAAGAAGAAAGAAGACTTCTTGAGCAATTAAAACAACAAGATCACCTAAATAATCGCGAAAGACAAATGTTAAGGCTTAAAAACAATTCACTAACAGATGAAAACTTCAGACTTAGAAGTATGCTTGAAGCGCACGGTATTGATCCGAATGGAAGAGCAATGATTAAGATAAGAATGGCCCCGTCATTCAGGGAAACTGATTCTGAGCCAGAATTAGGAAATAATGAGTTTTCGGATAAATCAGACGATTCTTGTATATCATTACCACCTCCAATTACAAAATTCGAACCATATCCACGAAATAGGTTATCTATTCCGGTTTCTATTTTTGAAAGAGAGCAAAATGATACATTTACTGCAGAAATTCAGACAGAGCCATATCAAATCGACTTCGAACACATGGGATCTTCAGTTGAACTGTCATCATCTACATCAGGATTTACATTTGAGGATAGTTCAACACCTTCCAAAGTTACCCCTACTAAATCTTCACAAAGAAGTTCAAAATCAAGCTATTCATCAGCAAAACAGAATGTCTCTGATTCAACATTCAATTTATCATCAAGCTCTGCAAATTCAACTCCAGTTTCGTTTAAATCATCAATTTCAACTAAATCCTCACATCATTCTAGCAAATCTAATAAATCTAGTTCATTTAATATCTCTTCTAGTTCAGAATTGCGTTCTTCGTCCTCAAAAAGAAATAATTCCACTACAAAATCTTCATCTTTTGGAACTCCAGTTTCAAAGCCATCATACAATGATTCATTATCAGACATTTCATCTTCTCCTATTATTACATCATCTAGGTCATCAAAGAGCTCTAAATCATCACTCGATTCTGATCAAAAATCTACAAAATCAAGCATTACATTTAACAGCTCAATTGATCAACCAAAGAAGAAATCTGAATCTTCTTATTCATCTTTATTGACTCCTTCAAAAGAATCCCAGAGTTTTGATTCATCAAATGAAATCAAAACTAAAGAATTTAATACGAAATCTAATTCTTCTTCTTCTTTCTTAGATACAACACAAGATTCTTCATTACCCAAAAAGACATCCTCATTCTTAGAAACATCTAAACAAGAAAATGATTCGTTATTATCTCTTGAATCTTTTCGTGAATCAATTAGTCAGATGAAGAAACCAATTAAGTCATTCATGAAGAAGAAAGAATCAATTGAATCTGATTCAGAATACGAATCAGAACCAAGTTGGATGAAAACAAGTAGTGGAGATGAAGAATCAGAAGAAACTCCAGTCAAGAAATCTGAAACTGTTGTCTCATTATCATCTGATTCTGATTCAGACTTTTTGTCGTCAATGAGTAAATCATCGCATAAAAAAGCTATCAGAACAAAAGTTGTAAAAGCTGATAGTGAATCTGATGAAAGTTGCAGTGAATCTCATTCAACTTATTATTCTGACTCTGATGTTTCATCTGATTATGATTCCGAAAGTGAGGAAAATATCAAAACTCGTAAGAAATCAAAGAAAAACTCAATTTCTGAATCTTTGTCTTCTTATTCAAGTGATGATTTTGAAGTTAACAGTAAGAAGAACAATATTAATGAGTACTTAAAACATGAAACAAAGAGACTCCCTGTTCAACAATCTTCTTCTTCTTCTGATTCTGAATTCTCAACATCAGAATTATTAAGTGATGATGATGACGAAAAAGAAATTCAAATGAAAAATAAGAAGTGCAAGAAATCTGATGCTAAAAAATCAAAGAAAGAAAAGATTCAGCCAAAGAAGATTAAAGCTGAAAATCAGGAAGACAATGAAATCGATATTATTGATTATATCGAAAAGAAACGCGAAACATCAAAGAAGATTCTTGATAACTTCGAATTTTTTGTTGCAATTAAATTCGAAGAAATGGATAGAATTCTTAATTATGTAAATTCAAAGCCAAACACGCCAAAACAAGAAACTCTAAAGGATAAAATGGCTCTGATAAGAGATTCTTTGAAAGATGATGTAAATAAGAAAAAGATTTTAAATTACATCAAAAAATACCAAATAGATTTTCTCAAGAAATGTAAAAACTTCCAAAAGGCTGATGCACTTTGGATGATCGAACGTGCTAAAAAGCAAATTGAAATCTCTGTTTAAATATATAATTTTTGTTTTCTATTTCCTAAATTGTTTATTTTACCATATGTTAATCACTGTTTTTCTTATCCTTGAATTGAATCGAGCTTGCTCACCCAATAAACTTTTTACTCGTTCTCTGATCGACAAAGAGCCAGAGAACAGCATCCAAAGTTATCTGAATTTCCTTCCTTATTTGAGGAACACCCAGATATCTTCAGCATTAACGAGTTACAGACATATTCTCTCATTCTTTACGGGCCAAGAACTACAACTACATTATACTAGGGCAAAATTTTTCTCTACATTAAATGAGGGACTTTGGAAAAATTTTATCCTATATGATTAATTATAGAATCCTAGGCCTTTTGGGAACCAGAAAAGCGTACATTAAGGCAATGTTCATTACGAAAATTCTCGTCGAATGAGAGATTTCGTAATGAATATTGACCCTCAATGGCTCATAGAGTAGTACAATAGTCCACTAGGGCAATTACGAATAACTAATATCGCTAGAAGCCACACTCTCCTAGCATATGGGCTGCATAGATATTGTGCATCTGGCTTGAAGAATCTTTTGACTGAAATAACAAAAATTATAATTACATACATCAATTCAAGCAAATTTGAATTCAATCAAAAATAATGTTAATTTTCGGTAGAATAATCTAATACAAAAACATTTATTAAATAAAAAATAAAAAATAAAATCTAATATTTTGGAAGTTGAGTCCTCATCAATGCAGTTTTGTACATAACGCGATTAAAGTACTTCAACGCTGGTTTAAAGCCATCATTCCATTGATGAAGCCATCTCCTTGCGTTGATAGCATCTTTTGCAAAAGTTCCGTAAACAATTGGACAAAAGAACCAATAACAGAGTATTACTGTGATTATAAAGAAGGTAGCTGCGAATCCTCTCATTGAATTTCTCCGTGAAAAAACGTTTTCAATCAATATTCCGAAATTTGCGCATGCAAATTCAAGAGGAATCAAATAATGGTAGTTGAACATTGTTCTAGGTACCATAATAAATGGGAAATACGATACAGCCCATCCAAAAGTGAATAATAAATCTCTCCAATCAGCAAATCTTATCAAAAACAAGAAAGGAACTAGAATAACTCCAGCTGTAGATGGCCAGTAAGAAGCAGGAAGTCCTGTACATGTGATTCTTCGATGACTTTCCTTTGAATAAAATAAAATTTGTTTATCTGTCATAAATGGCCAATATTCTGGATACGATTGCCAAGGATGAGGTATGTTTGATCTGAAATTGATCCTATGCATGACCTTTATCCATCGATATGTCCTTAAAAGTAAAGGAGAGTTAATTAATCTGTTTCCCCAATAAGAAGTATTAACTTTGTTGAAGTCAAACACTGTATTCTTATCTGGACCTTCCAAATAATGCGCGTTTTTGCCTGCAAAAGGACATAATGCAAAATGAAGGACAAATGAGAAGAAAAAGACGAAAGCGGCAGGAGCGAGAAGCAGAGTGGCTCTACTTATGATTGCTACTATGTCTGGTCGCTTAATGAGAATCCAAAAGATTTGAGAAATTCCATCTAAAGCAAATAAGCCAAGCGCTGTAAATTTGCAGGATGACGCGCAGCCAAGTGTGATACCTGCTAGTAGTACATGAAAATTGTCTTCAGTCCGAAGGAATAAAGAAAAAGCAAAAATATGAAGAGCCGTGAAAAAGTGTAAAATACCGTCTGTAAGTATAAATTTGGACTCTACTATCATTGATGAATCTAGTGCTAACATTATTGATCCTAATAAAGCACAAATAGGAGAAACTGCAAAATTTCTAAGAGAACAATAGATTAATGGGGCAACTCCAGCGGAAAATATGGCTGGTATGTATCTCTGTGTAATGTAATGCGTTTCATTTTTCTCATATGGTATACCTAGCTTGTAAAATCTTTGAATATCTCCTTTGTATTGTGCAGATTTTGCAATGTATGCCATAATAAGTTTTGCTAAAGGAGGGTGAATGTCGAAATGAAAATATTTTGTATTATACCACTTTGAAAAATTTCCAAAATGAACTTCATCGAAAATAACATCTGAAGGCCTTTCAATTGTCCATAATCTAACATACAAAGACACAATTGCAATGATAGCGACTAATACGGAGTCTATAAATGTAAATTCGCTACTCATGCAAATTGTTTCTGAAAAAAAAATTAAAAATTGATCAGCAAATGAATAAAACAAGAGTAATAATCGAACTGTAAATGAATTTCAAAGGAAATCCAATTTATTTTCCAAAATTCAAAACGTGACAACTCAAATTTTTTTTTATGTTTTTAGGAGGTTACGCAGGTGCAAATAAAGATATTACACCAGATTTTCTCAACGCAAGAGATGGTTCCACGTTTAGATCAGGTCGAGTAAGGAATGAATCCTCAGATACGGCGCAATTACTGAATCATTCTTATCAACCTGAGTCACCACTGGATGAAATCTTCAAGAGATCGAGCTACATCAAGAAAAGAATGCGAGAATGCCAAAGCCGCATTAAAGAACTGAAACCGATTCAAAATAAATGTTTAGAACAAAATTTTGAAATCAAAACCGACCTTTTAGCGAATGTTAGTAAGTCATCTCAAGAAATATCATCAATCTTGGAAGATATCAACAACAGTTTAAACGCTCTGACGGTATATTCCTCTCCTCAGTACCCAGACAGAGAAATGATCGTTAAAAACATACATCATTCTCTCTTTGATGAATATAAGAAATTAAATCACAAGTTTAAACTGCAACAAACAACTTTCCAGACACAATATTACAGTCGTGAGTCTCAGAAGAAAAATGAGACCAATTTATTGATCGACCTCGAAGGTCTTTATACAGGAAATGATGCACCAAGTCAGAGAACGCTAGAAACCCAACAAAGACAAAGTAATAACGAATTGGAAGAATTAGTACGAAGAGCAAGGGAAGTTCAACAGCTTTTCTCTGATCTAGCAACAATTATCGTTGAACAAGGAACAATTATTGATAGAATTGATTATAATATTTCAGAAGCTTTGACAAACGCTCAGAAGGGACACGAAGAAGTCCAAGAAGCAGAAAAATACCAAAAAGGATCGAAGATGTGGATTTGCGCAATTATTATGGGTATTTTAGTATTTATTCTTTTTATTGCAGCTTTATTTAAGTAAACGACTTAACATTATTGTATCCTGATGATTTTTATAATAATCCTATAAAACAAATATAAAATAGATAAAAATATTTTATATTTTGAAGATATTTGGCCAAAAAAAACAGAAATTATATGCATACCTTACATAACTCTAGTTTGTATTCATATTTCTTATCTGTGAATTGAATGATTTAGCAGAGAAAACAAAATTTACAATCAAATTCTCGAAATTCTTTTGCAAATATATAGTTATAATATGTAAAAACAATTTATGTACGTATAAAAAGTTTTTTAATCAACAATAAGCATGATCAATCAGCAAACTACTAAATTGAAAGGAAATTCATATTCTGAAAAGTCAAACATATCATACATATTAAAGTCAGGCAATGTATTTGGAATATTATAAGGGCATTCAATTTCATCAGGCGTTGTAGTGGGCTTTTTTAGATAGAATTCTAGAAAAGCAGCATCATGTTTGCAGATCCAGGTTACTGTCATTGACAATTGACGACGTGTTTCACGAGTGTAGGGTATGTTGTTTCGTCTTGATATATCATCACATATCTTTTTAAGTTGAGAAAAGGTATATTTCTCAAGATTAAGATATCTAACTACACTGGGGACTGAATTTCCCTTTTCCATCCTATCTGGATCGATCCAGCGTAATGTGCAGTTATATATTTCATCCTTGAACTTGACTATTTTGGTCATGATGCAATGAGAAAAATGAATTTCGTTTTCTAATTATTTGAATGAAAAAATGGAAAATTGAACCATTATTTACTATCTAGACTCAAAGACTTATTATTGATAGAATTGGCTTTGCAAATACATTATATTTTATCACATTGAATCACAAATCTCATATTTCAATAGAAAAAACCGTTTGAATTCAAATTGATGATAAAGTTTTTATTATAAAATTTGTTATTGAAAATAGCTTGTACTATGATTAAGTATATATATTATGGAAAATGACATTTGAAAGGCAAAATCTGTGAATAAAAACACTTTGAAAATCAAATAATTCAAATACTGAGAGATCAAGATGATTTGTTATGTGCCATATGTCTTAAGTAAAGGAAAAAATTGCAAATAAATCTGAAATGTGCTCAAATTCATTTAACAAAATGTTCACGGGAAACGAACTTTAAATCAAACTCTCTCAGATATGATTAAATTCTCTTCATTTCAGGTATTGAAGGTAATTTTATAATATATTATTTTTAATATAGCATTTATTTAAACACTGACAGATTAACCGTACCTCAAATGGCTTTGCCACACCTTCAGCATCTCTAAATAAAGCAAAATGCTAATTCAGCAAAAGGCGGCATTCTCGACGATTATTTTTCAATGCTGAAAGATTGTTGGAACAAAAACTTGCCTCCAAGCGAGTTTGCAGCCCTTCTCTTTAAGCCAAATACAAACACTCAACAGATATTAACTGAATTAGTTTCTTATTGTTCAACTCCCGAAGATCCTCCAGCATTATTTCTCGATTATTTAAACGAGGCTGTCATGAGAACGCCCCATATGGCAGTAGGAGTGATAACTAAGGATACTGAAATAGAAAAGCTTATTACTCAAAGGATAATTAGTCGGAATCCTGGTTCGTTTTTCGCAAATTTTCCATTTGATGATGAATGGCCAATCAAGTTTGCGTTAAATCTCCTAAGATCTCTTATTGATGACAAAGCAATATATACAATTCAACAATTATCGCTTGATTCACATTTTAGTGCGTTAATTGCAAAATCTAATATGTTATTTCCAAAAGAAATGGATGAAATACGTGAATTATTCCCTATAGAACAGTTTTACGAGTTTATTGGTTACTCAATTCCATATCCATCAAATTTACTTAAAAAAGCGATTTATATGGAGAACTCCTCGTCATCACTAATCGGTGGATATCATGATGTTCTCAAAATTGTTATTCCAAACATTTCAGCAATTTTAGGAATTCCACATTTCTTCCATTTAATCAATCTCGAGCAATTCGCGCATATTTACATACACTTTGTATACGACTTTATTAATAACCCTACGATTGTCAACGCTTTTTACATTACAGACTATTTTCCGCGCATGAGGAAATATTTTGAAACTGGAGAAACCCCAGACAAAAGAGATGGAGAGCTCCATGCAGGCGAAATCTTCAAGACATTAGATTTATGCAAGGAATACATCTCTAAAGCCGAATTTTTAGCAAATCATTCAAAAAGATCAGATTGCGACATATTATTCAATAAAGAAGACATTGAATCCCTCAAAAACCTACTCACAACGATCCCAGATACGATTGATCCCGATAAAATCATTGATTTAACGCTAATGTACCCAGCATTATCAATATCTCTGTATACAACCATTACTAAATCGATCAGCATTGATACAGCTCAAGTCTTTGCCATGTATGCCCAACAGTTACTTAATATCCATAACGATTTCGCCACATTTTTGTTCCAACAAGATTTATTTTTTGATTTTTTGAACTTGGTCATACCAGTTGTCACTGCTGTCACGGATAGATTTGCATTCTGTCCCATATGGATGCTGTTTCTCACTCTAATAAGGGATTCCTACGGTTTAGGATGGCAAAAATTAAATAATGAAATCGTCGAATTCATAAATAGCCTTGAAAACCAAGCCCTCAAGTACTTCCTTACATTGTTAATACATCTCAACCCTCAGGAGTACGAATGCCCCAAGACAGCGAAGACTCCGTTTTTAGAATGCGTAATTACGATGCAGAAACTCATTTACGACGAAGTTTCGATAGAAAGCATTGATATGAAACTTGATTCCAGACCATATCTTGCTCCTTCCCTACTTATTTTCTGCTTATCAAATCCATCAGAAGAAATTAAGAAATATTTTTCAGTCAAACCGTCTGATTTATATCTTAATAACTTGTTCATATACCATCTGATGATTTACTGCAATAAGCAACAACAGCCTTGGGTTGCAGGCTCCGAATTACCTGATTTCATTTTTATGAAACACGAAAGTCCACAAAAACTCGATAGTATCAACCAGATTCTTTCCAAGATGTTTGATAGCATAATATTCACCATTCCTCTGACATCTACCATCATTTGGCACATTGTTTGCGCTTGGAGAGCTTGGGGAAACATTTTTAGAATTACAACTTTCGTTAAACATTTATTCGGCCAATTATTATGGAAAGCGAAATTGTTGGCAAACCAACAATGCGCGGAAAACCTTTTCTATAATGTGGCCATTATAATGTGCATGGCTTTCGCTGAAGAAGAGAATTTCGTGAATGACATCAATTCTATCGTTGATTATTTCCTTGTTGAAGGTGAAAATGATAAAATTGATGGTCAAAACATCGCCGCTTTCGTGTTGATACTTATAGCTGCAATGATGAATGATGATACTGCAAAGGCATTCGATAAACTAATGGTTACATGCGTGGAAATCATTGATAAAGGTCAAAACGTTTGGAAAGTGAAATTTGCTTTGACACTTTTATCATTTGCAATCAACAATGTAAAACTTGTTGGCAAACTGGGCTTAAATGTCGAACTATGCCTTCAGAAGGCCAATGAAATGGAGTTGTTGAGTAATTATTACATAATGAAAGTAATTACACAAGAAAAATCAAAATAAGATATCATTTGTTGTTTTAAAGATTAAATATATCAAATATTGTTTTAAATTTTAAAAATTAGCATAGATTCTTCGAAGATTATCTTATTTTAAGATGTTTATATGTCTATTATGAGTGCGGATGTAATACATGAAGATAGCTTACTGATAATGTGTATTGTTTTATGAATAAAATCCCAAATATCTTGTTGTAAAAAGCTGAATATGTTTATGTGTTTGTTAAAAGTATAAATGCAAGAGGTGAAGCTAAATAAATAATATGGTGCCTAGTTTTATGTACAAAAATGGTACAGAAAAAAGATCATTATGCATAAGATATCTGTTTTTCTCTATATATATATTGACAAATTTCAATTTTTTTATGTGGAGCTTTATATATTTCATGAAAGGTTTAATTTTCAAAATTTATTTTTGAATCAACTCAACGCAATTCGTCTATTGATGAAAATAAAAAAAAATCCGTTTATCAAATGTGGCTCTCGTCGGAAGCTTTACCTGTCCCCAGGACGAGAAAGCCCATGTATATTACATCTAAAAATGGCACGCTTTTCTGTATAAAACCGGGTAAAGGTTATGTTTATCATGAAAATGCGTGGATGATTGAAAAATCTCTCAACATGCTTCACTACAAAATCGACAGAGTCGTAATTTCACCAAATGGAGCTACATCCCTTCATTTACCAAAAATATCTCCGCTTTTTGCGATACATCAAAACAAACCTAACGCTAATGTCGTTACTTTTCCACTTCCAGCAGGTAATATTCAAACATTACAAGAAAAAACAACAGACCACGGTTATGATCCTGACGGAACAAAACTATTAATTTCTCGTCCACATAATAGAGTCGACGATTTACCTTATATATTCAACTTGCAGAATAAACCAATTACAGATTTCCCTGCACACGTATTTGGTTTAGCTTGCAGTGAAAACGGCAAAATTATGGCTGTTTCTGTTGATCAATCCGTATGGATATGGCAGCAGCTACCTGAACAGCCTAATGGCATTGGATGGTGGATTGATTTAACAGCAGACCAACGATTTGGTATCAATATCAACGCAAATCATTATTTAACACAACAAGGAAGAGCTTATCACGGTTTTATGAAACCACGTCAATCATTCACATTACATCCAGCAATTGCACCAACATTACCTTCAAATTCCGCTGTTTCTTACCAAGATCTTGCTTTATTCGACAATCCTGATGAAGGAAAAGGTGTAGTTTGTCTTACAGCAGTTCTTCCTCCATCTCGACCATTCGATACTCTATATTTATTCGTATCAATTTGCAAATTTAAATATTCTTACACTCCAACTTTTGAAAGAGCCGAAGTTATGCTTCCTATTATGGAAGGTGCTGGTGGCCCATGCATATTCTGGAGTTTATGCTGCAGAATTGCTGTTGTTGCCGTATCAAGATCTGTTGTAATTTTAACTCGTGAATTACGTGTCATTAGAATCATTCCTATAGATGAAATATTCGCTTCTAAAAATGCTATGGTTGCAAATGTTGCTTGGTCTTGCACAGGACAGTTCTTCGTCATCACATCTACAAATGGAGAAGTTTGTGCAATCACAAGAAGTGGTAAAAACATGCACCACCAGATGTGCGATCTCGCTCCATTCCAAAGAGGAAAGGATGTCCCTCTAATGTTGACAGGAGACTCAAAAGATCCAAGTATCTTCGTAGTTTACACAAGGGAGAAGTTTAGAGTTCTCAAAATTAATACAGACCTTATTCCACAGACAATTGAAAACTTAATGAGCCTTCATTTCCCATTCGGAGATGTTGCTGAATTATATGACCCAGCAGTTGCTTCAATGCGCGAATGTGGATATACAAGGATCGAGAATTTTGTAAGACTTATTTATTTAACAGACTTATTCCGTATTTTCCCACTTTATTCACCATTAAGATACCATTTGATTATGATTTTCGATGAAGTGACCACAAAGCTACTCGAAGATGGAGAAGATTTATATGCGTTTCTCTTCGCTCGCTGCATTTTCAGGTTAACAGATCATAAAGTTCCAATTTACGATATTGTCGTTGAAAGACTTGAATGTGGTGAGAAGCAACGCGACCAAATACTCGGCTGGATCATGCGCGGAGAAGGAGATCGCAAGGATTGGGTTGTTTCTCTCGATAATAATCCAACAACGATCTTTTACTATGGGATGAAGAATGACGATGAAGAACGATTGAATATGTCCAAGCCAGAAGCACGTAGAAATGCTGATCTCCCTCTTATTACTAAGAAAATCAAGAAATTGGTTTTCGAAGGTTCTTATACAGACTTAAACGAGATTGATGTCGACATGCGAGTTATTTTGGAGCTCATGATCATGCTTGGATGTATCGATAGAGCCATTGTCGTTGCCAGACATAAATCCATCGCATCTGATCCATTAAATCTCTTCAATAGAATCATTGCTTTGTTCCCCGACTCCCCCGAATTGATATTCAGAGCCCTCGTTTACTGTTTACAGTTGGCTTCTCCTGATGACGACCAAATGAGAGCAAATTGCATTAAAGCATTATTAAATATGCTTAAGGCAGCAGTCGTTGACTCAATGCCAACGAGCACAAGGCCAAGATTGATGCCATTATCAAATCTCTGCATGATTGAAGAATCATTAGAAGTAATTGTTCCAAGAACACAAGAAGACTTGAAAGATTTTGCTGTTATCACTGCTTTAGCATTTTGTGCTGCGGATTACAAGAACATTGCCCTTTATATCAACGGAAGATCGAAATTAATTCCAGAAAAAATCAGAGAGCCGCTTAGAGAGCTATTTGGACTTATCTGGTTCATCAGATGGAGACAGACAGCCATTAAAGAGACTGCCAGAGTCAAACATGCAAACGATGCAACATTAAGGTTGCTTGCATTCCCAGAATTTGTAAACAAGAAGGTTGCAATGAGCCAAATTAATAATGCAGGTCCAAGGGCATTTTCTCCTGAAGCTTATGCTTTATATGTTGACGGATCAAGAAATTTCGAAGATGATCCAGCTTTCCCAAGTTATATGGCCGAATGCACTAATAGACTAAGAGAAGGAGCTTTAAGAGATGTTCAGGAGTACGCGATTAAGCTTGGCGAGAGATCTCCAAAAGATCTTCCTAAATCAAACTTGTTACTTGCCGTTTTGGTCTCTCATATGGTTCCTTGGCTGAGATGCGGTATCCCACGTGCTCTCGCTAAGTTCCACTGTGGAGAAAACATTCCAAACGAGTTATTAGAGCTCGAAGACTTCACAATTCCAGCTCTCAAGCCTAAGAAGATGGTTCTCGAAACTAAGCCACTTGTCGAAGAGCATCCAGAAGAGGAATCAGAAGATTCAGATATTCCGGTAATGGATGTTCCTCAGCCATTGCCAGAAGAACCTGTTGATTCTGGATCAGGCGAGTTCAAGATTGATAATGAACCACCTTCTTCTTCCTCAATTTCAGAGCCTCCTGTTCCAAAGAAGAAGAAACATAAACCGAAGCCAAAACAGAAAGTCAGGAAGCCAAAGAAATCAGCTCCAGAGCCTCCAAGAGTCAGACTCCTTACTCTCGATCCAAATGCTGGTCAACGACATCAATATGTTCCGCCACCTCCAAGTTACCAGCCACGCCCGATGAGATTTGGAAATGTCTGGGACATAGATCCGAATGCATGGCAGAACAGGCCAAAACCGCAGCCACAAGCCCCTCCTCCACAACCACAACCTCAAGAACCTCGTTACGTCTTTGTTGCATCGAGCAAGAAGGACACTTTCCCACAAATGGAAGAGAAATCTACATCATCCCTTTCAGATTTCGAATTCACTGCTACACAACACAGACCTATGCCTTACGCAGACCAATTCCCACTCGATGAAGAACTCAATAAACGTGTTGCAAAGGCTCTTGGAGATTACGATGACCTTCCAGAACCAGGAAACCTCGGAGACAAGCCTTCTTACAGAAGACCTCCTGTTTCCCTTTCATACCAGCCTCCGGACGTTGATATTCCACGTATCGACTTGAACAGGAAACAAGAGAGACCAAAGAAGGAAGACTCTTCGATGTCAAGTGGTCCTGACTGGAAACCAACAATCAAGAATATGAAAGGTAATAGAATTGTGGCTGTAAAGGATGATGAGATGAAAAAGAAGAAGAATCAACTTCAGTTACGTGAAATCAAACCAAAGGGAAATAATTAACCATGTTATTATTATTAATAAAAAATATTGCATTTATCTGTTTGTATTAAATATCGATTAGCACTTTTTATGAATGTATTTTCGTTCACTCAAGAATGGATAATATAATGCTGAGTGTTATTTGCTTTATAAAAGGAAAATCAAACAAAAAATTATCCCTATTAGATTGAACATTTAAGAATCAGTCAACTAACTTATTATAATGTTGAAATCATAGAGATAGAATAGTTTGTTAATGAAATATAACTCAATAATTAAAATAAAATAATTATTACATCGATTAAAACCTAATATTCCATCATAACATAGTTATATTCATAAAATTACTTAGATTACTTGATCAAAAAATTTCCAAAAAAATCTTGATTTACAGAAAATGACTAAAATAATTTATAATTTCAAATTTATTTTTTGAATTTCGAAATTTTTTTGGAATTTAATCAATCATTTTTTCTTTCATAGATCACTTAAATACGCAATGTAACAGATAGTGGATACATTTAATCAGGTTTTTGTAATTTCGATAGTTTTTTATAATGTTGACGTAAAACATACAATTTTATTTGAAAATTGAAAACATTACGGATTATAATTTGTATCATCTTAATTTTTTTTTGACTCAAGAATCCCTTTTCCATACAAAGTCAATCAGAGATAAGAAATAGAGTAAAATCTGTAATAATGCTGAATAAAATGATGTTTAGATTTCGAAACAAAAAGGTGACATATAATGGCACTGAAAACACCCCATGATATTCATCCAAAATATTCAGATCAACGATATAAACTCGAGCGCCGTCGCAAACTTGGTATTTTCACCGCTATTTTTTGGGTTATATCATGGATAATCTTGCTTTCATTCATTCCACTCTTTAGACATGTCATGATTAAGTCTTGTATTAAATTCATACCAAAAAGCAACATGAATATCGACTTCCGTTACGAAAATGTGATTCAATACGGTCATCCAGGAAAACGTTATCCCAATACGATCCAAGAAGACGATTTTGAAAAAATCTTCAATAAAACTATGATTTCTCCATTCGGTTTTGAAGAGACATGGGCGCCACCTTCTACAATTTTTGTGAATTGGCCAATGGAAGTTATTGACAAGCCAGTTATTCTTGAAGACTTTACAGTTAGCGTTGATCGTCCAGATGCCGATGAATTATAAGTAATAACCGAGTCATTTTATTTGGTCACATTTACCATAATATTTATTAACGATTCATGACGTGTTTAGCCATTAGTGCATCATTTCATACCGAATTTTCTTTTTGCGGACTTTTTTTACGAAATCGTTATTAGCGAAGTTTTTGAAAAGGAAATCGCTAATAATGCGATTCTACTGATGAATACAGCGATGAGTTCATCCAGATTAATTGTTATATACATGAATTACGTTGGAATATTATAATTATTTTTATTCCATCGATTATTTTTTTGTTTGACTAAAATATACTATATTAGTTACTTATATACAGCTATGTTTTTCACTTCATGCTCTTTAAATCCTTTGATTGATGATTTGGAAACTGATTTTCAATCTGACACGTCACTTTTTTGCCAAATTGATGACTGACAAAACATCATTTAGGGACCTTTTAAATTCTCGTAAGAGCAATCATGTCTTCTCCAAGGAGGGTGTTGATGAGGTTATGTGGAAGAAAATAACAGATCTCATCAATCACTGGGATTCGAAATCCGAATTTACAAATATGACTGTCCGTCTCCATTTTCATGACAATAAACTTGGAGCAAGTGACTTTTCTGGCGAGCTTGGTTGGGTTATTGGCTCTTATTTCTCACCAAATGATAAATCACGCGAATACTTATACCAAATGGAAGTAGCATATAGACTATTCAAACTTTCGATAGATTTACAACGCATTGGTGTCGCATCTTGCTTCGCAACATACTCAATGGATGAAGTTAAAGCGACAGAGCTCTCTAAACCATTCCATTCAATGGAATTTTCTGCTCCTATAGCTCTTGTTATAGGCATTGCATCTACAAAAGGATCTATCATTTCCAAGTTTAAAGGCTGGTTAACATCAGATTCTTACAGAGTTCCTCTTGACCAATTACTCATTGAGCCAGAACAATCAAGTAAGTTTGTAGTTGGAAAGGTTCGCGACGCTCTTACCCTTGCTACAAGAGCTCCTTCAATTGGAAACATGCAAACATGGAGAGTACTTGCAAAAGATGGAAAGATAGATTTCTACGCTGTTAGTGAAGTTCCAGAGAAGTTTTTCAACCTTGGCTGCTTTATTGCTGCTTATGATATCGCAGCAAAGGGTCTTAAGCTAAAAGGAAGCTGGAAGAACTCATCCCATATCGATATTGAAGGAGATTATGGTATTTCTTTCATATAAATTACTGTATTTTTTTAAAATATTAATTTATTGATTTAACTTTACGAACTTAACATCATATAGAAAACTAACTCTCCTTGAGCAATACATTTTAAGAACTCATAAAGGTAATTTTAGAAATTTTATTTGATAACTTTTTGAATTATTTATAAATGACGAAATTGATAAGATGAATTTAATTTTTATCGTTTCAAATCAATAAATCAGCTGGAAAATCAAGAGTAACAGAAAAGCATAGATCAAGCAATTAGAAAAGTGACAGTTCAATTTAAATGGCTTACGATCCATCAATGGGAGGCCAAAACCAGATACCAGGCTATGAAGAAGAAATTCCTAAGCTTGTTACTGTTGTTAAAGAAGAAAAATCAGATAACTGCTACACATTTACAGTCCAAAAGGAAGATCACACACTTGGAAACCTTTTAACAGATCAACTTCTTACAGAAAACCGTATTCTCTTTGCAGGCTATAGAATTGAACACCCTACGAAAGATTTAATCAAAATTAGAGTTAAAGCAAGTCAAAATGTCAATCATCCAAAAGAACTTATCGACCCTGCTATCGAAGCTCTCAAAACTAAGATCGCTGGCCTTCAATCTTCTTTCATTTCCTCTTGCCAATCATTTGATAAGAGGTCACAGAACTAATTCCTATTTACATAAATTTCATATGTTCACATTAAATAAAATATACATCGCAAAATATATAAATATGTGCTGATTTTTTAAAAATCTTTATTTGATATTTTTTTTTCTCTAACTTTGAATACAAAGCTCTTGAGTAGAGATTCATATTTTAGAGAGCACTAAAGATGTGATATCAATGGCCAACATCTCTAATTCCCAAAATATTTTTTATCATCTCATTTATAAATCAGTTTTTCAGCGAGCGTTTTTATTAATCTTAAGAACTAAAATGATAAAATTCAGTTAAACTGTAATAAACAGAAATTCATCAAAAGTGACAGCTCTCAATTTTTTGACATTTGTAAATTCTAAATTGAATGAGAAAAATGAAATAATACTAAGCATAATACAATATTCTAGATTTAATTATAATTAGGAAAAAGTTAGTTTTGAGAGTACTTTTCATAGGCATATAGAATGAAATCTTCTGAAAAATAATATCACATAAACTCATATTATTTTCTAATATATAACTATTTTATATAAAAATCAAATTCAATGATCTTAAAAGCGAAGGATAAACCTCAAAATTTACGAATATAATGAGTGGGAATATAATGCTTATCTATCATAAAACCATATGAAATATCAATTTTTGCTTTACGCCTAATTTTTGACGACAATTAGCAAAAAATGTTAAATGTTAACACTCAGTCCATTTGAATATGAAAAATAAAATTGACTTTGATTAAATGTTTTTATTTATCATGCAATTCTTCTTGCGACCAAAGATTTGAATAAAAGTTCAAAAAATAAGATAGCTTAAAAATAATATACGGTAGTGTTTACTAATAGATGAATAGTATATAAATTCTATTAAAATGGATTTGATCCAAAAAAATATAAAACCAAAAATAATTGTTATAATTTAAATGAAGAAGTAATTTAAAACGATTTTATTTATGATCAAATTTTATATATTTTTTTGGATCAAATCCATTTTAATAGAATTTATATACTATTCATCTATTAGTAAACACTACCGTATATTATTTTTTAAGCTATCTTATTTTTTGAACTTTTATTCAAATCTTTGGTCGCAAGAAGAATTGCATGATAAATAAAAACATTTAATCAAAGTCAATTTTATTTTTCATATTCAAATGGACTGAGTGTTAACATTTAACATTTTTTGCTAATTGTCGTCAAAAATTAGGCGTAAAGCAAAAATTGATATTTCATATGGTTTTATGATAGATAAGCATTATATTCCCACTCATTATATTCGTAAATTTTGAGGTTTATCCTTCGCTTTTAAGATCATTGAATTTGATTTTTATATAAAATAGTTATATATTAGAAAATAATATGAGTTTATGTGATATTATTTTTCAGAAGATTTTGTGTTCTTCTTCAAAATTTTATTTTTTTATTAAAAAGAATCTTTACAAAATATACATTTACTTTAATTAATATTTAAAAACGTGCTCTATCAAAAGTTCCAAAAATTCAATATTTTAGCTTTTCTGAGGTGTCACTTTTGACGAATTTCTGTTTACAACAAAACGACTCAAATGCAAAGAAATAAAAATCTGGGATTTATTTTATAGGTTTGGGGTTAAAAATAAGAATGAAACATAATATATTAATAACAAAAACAAGATATTAAACATTTATTACATTAAAAAACAAAAATTAATTATGGCTGAAGGTGACCACTGAGATTCATTCTTTTTCCATCTGGTATTGATTCATCTACCTGTTCACGGTTAGCAACTCTCATTGATGGCAATGCGTTGCTTAAGCTCATTAAGTAATCCACGATAAATAACTTTTCTTTGATTTCCAGTCCATCCAAGTTATCTGTATAGAACTGAATGAGGGATATAGCGTCATCTTGGAACATCTTTTCACAGTTAAGTCCAAGAGCAGGTATGTATTGGTTAATAAATCTATACAAAGATTCCTCTGACGGACGTTCGAGGAGTGGATAAGTCAAGTTATCCTCATTGGAATAGATGTAGATGTTAGTGATATTAATTAATTTTGGTAATTTTTTGACAAAATTCTTTGTTATGTCAATATATGCGAAATCAATCATAGAAGTGATATTGGCTCTGATCTTCGTAGCAACGTTCGATATCAAATCCAATAATTCTTCACTTTCTTCTTTGAGATAAACAATAAACTTGAAATCGGTCGAGTTATTGTTAATGAATTCTTCATAGTTGTGTCCTACGATCTTGTTGATGTAAGGGAAGTACTGGCGAGTTGGAATAATTTCCGACTTAAATTCGGGCTGTTTATTTCCTTTGAGAACTTCTTTGATTATGGAAACAGCGCAGCTAATCCATTCCTCGCCATATTTGACTCCAACAATTCGTTTCGTTGGGTAGTAAATGTTTTGTTTGTAATTGAATATGACTAAGTCGAGATAATCATTAAAATCATGATCAGAGAAGGATTCTACAAACGGGATTGTCGAATTCGTTATTATTCCGATCTTCTGATCTGGAAAATCTTTGAATAATTTTTCGAATATGATACCGAGTGGGATTTTCTGATCAATCTTCTTACTGACAATACCAATTGTCAAGTTATCCGAATCCATGATATCGGATTCGCTGAATACGTTGTTGTTTTTGGCAAAAGCGTATGGAAAATTGCTTAAATGTTTATCAAGCGGGACAATAACGCCATCTGAGTTCCTGTAAACAGCAAAATCATAATTACTGCCAGCTATTTCGTCCATAACATTCGAACTGGCAAAAAGTAGATCACAGGGACCATATTCCTCTGTTATTTGATATAACAATGACTTGTATTGCTCTGAATCTGTATACTGACTGATCAAAGTATAGTTGAGATTGGATAAGAATAGTGGTAAATCTTTGACATCTGATACGACTTCATTTTTCTCACATGTTAATGCTTCAAGCTGTTTCAATAACACATTTTGATCTTGTGGAATAGCAAGACGGGTGACTTCAAAGCCACTTTCCAATATAATAAGTAACGGATTCGGGATATTTCTATGTTTTTGATCTCCAAAATATGACTCGGATTTGATAAATGCAAGCGGAGTAGCAATGTGCAGCATAAAAGCGGCTGAAAATAGATTTTCTAACTCTGTATTCCTCTGATTATGATCATAGTCTTTGATAACACATAATGCGACTTTTTTAAGCTTGAAAATGACCGATTTAAGATCAATTCCGTTAACGAAGTTGATAATAGGATGCTCTATGAGAGGAGGAGCTAGAAATTGAGAAAAGCAAATCAAAGTCAAGCAGAACATAAAATTAATGTCAAATTATTCAGTGTAAACAAATCAAAAAGATTGAAGAATCGTTCTCAAAATGGCATAATCATATTTACGTAGTTTTGTTTTTATCTAATTTTTGAATGCGATTTGAGTAAATTGAAAAATCCAGCAGGTCTTTCCCCTAATAATCTAGGCAATCCAAATATACGAAGATTAAATTTCGGAAGATTTTCTAAAAATTTTGAATCGTGTTATAGACCGAAAATAGATTTTTTCGGTTTTCTCTTCAAATAATTGAAAGAATGATACTATTATAGGTTTATTATATTATATAGCATATAATCATGCTATAGCCGAAAATTATAAGTTTTGAGAAGATTGAATATAACACAAATAAATTTGAATGTAAGTTAAATTGCTTGTTGTTTTTAATAGCTATTTAATGAGAAATCCAATATTGCAAAATTCAAATTGAATGATTGAAAGAACAGAAAAAGTCATTCTTTTCAATTTCGAATATGTTTCATTGTATTTATAATTATATGGCAAATAAGATATTTAAACTTGATTTTTGAAGGAAAATTCACAAAATTGAATAAATTCAAATAATTTTTATTCAAAAATAAACTAGTTATTTGAGTTTAATACTAATTATCTATTCAAACTACAAAGTTTGTAATTTAAAATATTTTGTGAGATCAGATTGAATTAATTCAAGGTTCTTTTCAATTAATATTAATGACCATATTACGCATTTTCGAACATTCTAAACCAAATATATAAAAATGGGAGACGAATGTTAAATTTGCTAGACATGGGGGAGTTGTCTGCAAAGTTTTAGCTCTTATCTCTAACAAAAAATTAATTTTTAAAAAAAAGACCGAATACGTTTCACAGCGAGAAAAAAATAAAAGGCAAGATAGAATTTTCTAGACATAAAGAAGTTGTTTACCGAGTTTTAGCTCTTATCTCTAACAAAAAATTAATTTTTAAAAAAAAGACCGAATACGTTTCACAGCGAGAAAAAAATAAAAGGCAAGATAGAATTTTCTAGACATAAAGAAGTTGTTTACCGAGTTTTAGCTCTTATCTCTAACAAAAAATTAATTTTTAAAAAAAAGACCGAATACGTTTCACAGCGAGAAAAAAATAAAAGGCAAGATAGAATTTTCTAGACATAAAGAAGTTGTTTACCGAGTTTTAGCTCTTATCTCTAACAAAAAATTAATTTTTAAAAAAAAGACCGAATACGTTTCACAGCGAGAAAAAAATAAAAGGCAAGATAGAATTTTCTAGACATAAAGAAGTTGTCTACCAAGTGTCAGCTGTTACTTCTTCTCAATACTGATATAAAATAAAAATCTTTATTATTTATTTAACCTTTATTGTTTCATTAAACTTCATTTATTTTATATTATAGTTTTATTCTTTTAGCTACTTGTAAAATAATCTAATTTTATATCATCATTTTACCGGATTATTCTTCAGTACATCGATTGTGTATCTAAAATAATATCATTATCCTTATTCTGTTTTTTCCAAAATTCTTTTAAATATCTTTTTTGGTTAGATTACTTTATACTTTTTACTTTTATTTTTTAATTTCAAAAAAAAATTTGGTGATTGTTCTATTCTGTTACAATGTGCATTATCATATTCTAATGAATTATTCATTACATACATTTAAAAAAAACTTGTTAAAAATGAAATTAAAAATTATGTTTATTATTACGCTGTGAATGTGTCAACAGCGGTCATGCCTGTATCTGTATCCCATATTTGCCATAACCTTTCTGTATCTGCATTTGTGTATTTCGGTTTCAGCTGATACATTTGATTTGGCGTGTAATTTGTTCCAGTTAATGGATTAATTGGGAGATCTTCATGCGGTGTGTTATTATTGTACTCCCAAATAAAGGCAGGAATAGCCTGAATGCTTTGGCAGCGCTCCAATGTCGGCCAGAATCTCTCAATCTTCCCATTTTGGTAGGGAGAATGAGAGTCTGTATGCCGCCATTGGACGCGCCAAAGATCAAGTAGATCTTGAAAGGCGCCCCTATTTTCTGAACCGTTGTCGGTCCAGAAACAATAAGGGGCGCCAAATTCAATGAAGGCGGAAGCCGCAACGTTCGCTGTCGTCGCTGCCAGCATATCTGGTATTTGTATACACGCTAGGACTTTGCGGCTAAAATCGTCGATTATGCCATAAATATACTGGCCACGAACACCCCTAAAATAATGAACATCTGCGTGCCAGATAAGATTGGGTGAAAGCGCCCAATATCTTACTGCTGTTTCTGGCCCGGCATGCTCTAATCGCGTCTTGGTGAAATGATTTTCTTTGAAGTATCTGCGTACTTCTCTATAAGATACATCAATTTGTTGTAATTTCAAACGTTTCCATTGTTTTGTTTGACCACAGGGAAAGGCCAGTGGTCATGTATCACAGCAAGAGCTTTGATTTGGTCGTAGGGATTGACCCTACGACCTTTCTTGCCTTTAGGCAATGGGATATTCTGTAAGCTAAATTGATTTTGTAAAAAAGATTTTGAAACATCTAAATATTTGAAATCATTTGATTGAAGGGTTGGGGCGATGGGAACATGGGTGCAAGCTTCTTCCCATGTCATTTTACCTTCTTCAATCTGATTGGAAATACCAATTAGGTAAATTCGATCGACATACCCTTTGTAAGGATTCATTCTAATGAAGTACGTTAACAATCAAAATATTCTATAAGTGTCTAGTATGGAATTCAAAAGAATAAAGAAAATGGTAACGTAAATAAACGTATTATGAAATAATTTATAATTAAAATGAAAAAAAGAAAAAATAATAAGTAAAGTGACTGGAAATGAAAATTAAAATCAGTGTACAGTTTTATTTTTTTCTCGCTGTGAAACGTATTCGGTCTTTTTTTTTTAAAATTAATTTTTGTTAGAGATAAGAGCTAAAACTCGGTAAACAACTTCTTTATGTCTAGAAAATTCTATCTTGCCTTTTATTTTTTTCTCGCTGTGAAACGTATTCGGTCATTTTTTTAAAAATTAATTTTTTGTTAGAGATAAGAGCTAAAACTTTGCAGACAACTCCCCCATGTCTAGCAAATTTAACATTCGTCTCCCATTTTTATATTTGGTTTAGAATGTTCGAAAATGCGTAATATGGTCATTAATATTAATTGAAAAGAACCTTGAATTAATTCAATCTGATCTCACAAAATATTTTAAATTACAAACTTTGTAGTTTGAATAGATAATTAGTATTAAACTCAAATAACTAGTTTATTTTTGAATAAAAATTATTTGAATTTATTCAATTTTGTGAATTTTCCTTCAAAAATCAAGTTTAAATATCTTATTTGCCATATAATTATAAATACAATGAAACATATTCGAAATTGAAAAGAATGACTTTTTCTGTTCTTTCAATCATTCAATTTGAATTTTGCAATATTGGATTTCTCATTAAATAGCTATTAAAAACAACAAGCAATTTAACTTACATTCAAATTTATTTGTGTTATATTCAATCTTCTCAAAACTTATAATTTTCGGCTATAGCATGATTATATGCTATATAATATAATAAACCTATAATAGTATCATTCTTTCAATTATTTGAAGAGAAAACCGAAAAAATCTATTTTCGGTCTATAACAAAAAATTTTGAATCGGCCAATATTCATATCGTTGCACATTTATAAACATGGAAAATTCTTTTATATTACACTTTTACCGACTTTTTGAGAAGAATGATAGATTTTCTTTCTCGGAAAACCATCTGAAATCTGGAATACGATTTAGTATTATGACTTATACAGTGTGATTTAATAGTTTGTGTGTGTTTCGACTTTTTTTTCCGATAGGAAGATTTGGTTGAATTGTTTTTTATGAATTCAAATCAATTGATATATGAAATACCAAATTAATGTCAAAAACAAGCTTCCTTTTAAGCAATCTAATGCATAAAATTGCCGAGTATACATCAATCAAAAAATGAGGTTTTTCTATGACTCAGATTGTTCTTTCTAAAAGTCGAATGTTCGAATATATATCTTATACAGTATCGTGTCATCTCATTATTTCATATTACTTGAACTAGCTATAGTTTATAGATTTGAATAGAATTCGACTTTTCAGACGATAGATCTTATTTGGCCATACAGTGGCCCCTTAAATCACTCGTATGAAAAAATAGTGATTTTCAACAGTTTAAGAAATGAAAACACATACTTACACAGAAGTGAATCATTTGCAATAATAAAAATATGAAAAAATCAAGACAGTTCGATATAGTTTTCGTAATTTTACAAAAATAAACGTACAGTGTTTCAAAGATTGAAATAAAAAATGAACGTGCCTATTGAAGCTCCAATAGAAATTAAAAAGAAAATAGCGAAAAAGCTTCAAAAATCAGGCGCTCTGAAGCGGATAGAAAGAAAAATTAAATTAGGAATGATGGTTGCAGTAGAAGAAATCAAATCAGAACCGACAGAAAAAACTCATTTAGAAAGACTTCCATTTAAAGATGCAACTATCAATGAGATCAAAGGTTTACAGGCAATTTATAGTTATTTAGCGAAAAGGAATATGACATATACTCTTTCGACTCTTCTTGAAGAATCATGCGTTAAGCGACAAACAAATACTAATTACGATCTTCTAGAAGTCATAGAATCGGCAAATAAATTCAATAGCGATGAAGAAAAGTCGATCCAATCTGTAAAAAAGACATTATCTCAAAAACAATCCCCAAACGGACAAAAATTACCGAAAAATAAGATACTGCCAAGTGATTATAGTGATGACTATGATGATTTGTAATATTTTTGAATATAATAATTTAATTAGTATATATCTGTTTATTAAAATATAGTGTTGCTTATGTATGTTAATATTCTAAGGGTTAATTTGATTTGTTATTGTAAATAATTTTTTGAATTGATGGAATGAGTTTCCTATTAGAAAAATTCGCTTCCATATGGATATATATAGCCAATGTTTAAAATCTTCAGTTACTTGTCACTGCAATTCGATGAGAAATTAGGAAGAATCGATTTTCTTTTTGTCACTTTTTATGATGGAGAGCAAAAATTTATTTTGAATTTAAAATAATCGTCAGTAAATTTTTAGTGGTCAGGTATATGGATCCACAGGAACTTTACAACGAACTTAAGAACATATGCATTGCCCCACCAACAGATGTGAAAAAGAATCAACCAAAAGAAATAGATCCTGATAAAATGTGGACAGTCTTATTTTCGATTGCCCAGACTTCAATTCGTACTCTTGGCATGTACTATCCACTTTTACTAGGTTACATCCACAAACTCCCTCAATTTCTTGAAAAAAGCTGTCAAGTTGTCACTAATTTTATCAATGAATATTCAGACAATAGTAAATCATTCGATGAAAGAACAAAATTATGCGGACCATTAGCTCTTCTTGCACCTTTACTCTCTATTTCTAATCTTGTTAAGTTCTTTGATATAAGTGTTGATATTATGCACAATTATATCAATGAGAACCAAGATATCTCTCTAGAATTCATCGATGTCTTCGATGAAATCATGACAGAAGATTTACAGCCACAAGCAATCGCTGCAGTTTACAATCATCTTCATAAACTCATGGGAACAGAAAAAGCACCAGCAGCAATGTTCATTCTTGCACCTATATCATTCCCTCTACTCGAAGTTTCAGAAGGCGCTGATACTTTCGTAATAGAAACAGTTTTACAAACAATCAAGAAAGATCGCATCAACCAAATCGTTTCATGCTTCCTTCTCGAATACTTAAGTGTTTACTTCGATAGTGTACACGAAGCAGCACCTCCTGCTGAAGTTCTTGCTAATGATTTATTTCCATTGTTGACACAAGACGATTCTAAGGTCAGATACCGTGCGAGCAGGGCCTTTAAGTCACTTATACAAGAAGATCTTTTCCTTTCACCACCAATTGTCACTCTTTTCCTCAGTAGTTTCCCTAATTTCACAACAGACGCCCAAATCAACGTTTTCTTCAAGATTGTATCAACATTCATCTATCCAGAGGAAGAATACGATGATTACGCCGACGACGAACCATCCCAAGAAGTTTCAATTCTCCAACCAATTCTAGATTTCGCCATGATGACCCTGAAATCATCCCAAAGTCCACTAGTTCGTGGCCACTGCCTAGATACACTTGCAGACCTCGAAGGAAGGGACACAATGTTCGTAGAAGATTGTTATCAAGAAGCATTACGTCATGCCGAACAATTAGTTGCAGAAGGACACGTCGTAGCCTTTCCATGGCTCAGTTCCTATTTCGTGGCCATGTCAAAGGACTTCACTGCCGAGACAAAATCCACAATCATCAAGTATCTTCCAACATTAGTCAAAGCAATACATGATGAAAACGCCGGCCGCCTCAAAGACAGACTAAACCTTGCAGCCGACTTAGCTGTTATGGTTGGAGATGGTTTTGCCGATGATTTGTGTCCTGAAATTGCAAATTACGCGATGAAATTCTTGAGTTCAGAGAACATCAAAGAAATGATGAATGCATGTGCAATATTCATTGCTCTTCGGCCTAAACTCACTCCAAAGCTTGCGAACACAATATTCGAGATAGCAGCAAAGAGAGCAGAAGAAGTAATGTCGTCTGATGCATTGACAACATTAGTTCAAACAATGAGAAAAATTATGAAGAAATTTGACATCGACGATAAGCTTTCTGGCAGATTTACACAGAAGATCATGGAAGGACAGCTTGCAATATTATACGGACAGCCACCACATCTTTCCAAACCTCCTGAGAAGTTCTTATTCCTTTATTTGGAAAGATATATCGTTAGAAACATCAAAAAAGCATCAGAAATCTGTGCAAAACTCATAGAATGGATTGCAAAGGCTCCTTTCTCAGTAATCCCTATGATCCTTAGACCAATAGACGCTGGTCTTCAAGCAGGAGTTGTAAATGAACAAATGGCAAGTATTTTGACAGGAATTTTGTCAGTTTTATTGCCACAATTGAATGCAAATGATATCGATGAATTGAGCGCTACTTGCAGGACATTGAAGAATGTCTACGAACAACACCCTGACGTTGTTGAACCTTGCGATCCTTTCTTCGAGCATTTGTCTGAAATTGTCTCAAATATTTCTGAAGAAGATGATAAAAGTGACGATAGAAATTATTATGGTGACATGAAATCACCAATTGTTTGTTTACCAGATATTGCTATGTTTGTTTTCACTGTATACACGAGCAGTGAAACAACAAAGGTATTTCCAGAGTTACTCCAAAATATTTTGAAGCACATGCCATTCAGACCTGAAATAGAGGAAAACGAGGAGTTGATGGAATGCTTGTGCTCAATGCTCGAAGAGGAAGACAGATTTAAATCTATCGTTGTACCGGCTCTTTCAATTTTCACTGAACTTCTTTTGCTTAAGAAGGCAGAGCTGGATGAATACGAGCTCGAGGAAGATACAGTGACAATGATGAAGGATACATTGAAGAGAATTGTTAAAACAGATAGCGATGTACAAAAACAATTGCAAAAATTATTCGGATCATCAAGAGCAAAACTTAACAGATTCAATACACTTACTAGATAAGAAATATATATTTATATAGATATTTATATTTATTATTAAAATACCAGTTATAGATGTTATCTTTTTAAAATTATTAATTTTTTTATTCGAATTTTCTTCTAGTTTCGATTCAGTTAACACTATAACTAATAAATGTTGAACTATTAATTGAAGTTCAGTCATATTCTTAATTTTTTGTGATAAATTTCAGCATTTGAAATGATCTTTACTGCTATGAATCGTATTACATTGATCTATGAGTGAGTTTACATACGGACGTTCATTTTCTTTTGATAATATCCTTATTTTATGGTTCGACAATATTATATTGTTTTGAGGATTTTTACGAGTGTTTAGAAAATAGACTCTGAATAACTTCACGTATTAGTTTCTCGCTTGGCGTTTATGATTGGAAATTATAACCTTAATTTGCTTATTCATCAAAACTTTTCAATTGATTCACATGGATTTAGCAATGAGTTTAATAGAAGAGTTACCATTGTGACTTAGAACTATCGGAGAAGACTATTCATTCGGACTTGGCAAATGGAGAATTTCAAAAAAAATAAAATCTTATTGTGTGATGAGTGTATGCTACAACTATCAAAATCATCAAACTCAAAAAAGAAAATTGAATAGTTTACATCATTCAAATCCGAATCAGAATTGATGTAGTTTATTTCGAATACATTCATTTTTCACTATTATAAAGAACATTTCAAATAAAATGAGACTTGCGGTTAAACTTCAATGTCAAATCTGACACGAAAATTTCAAACTTATCGGTTTCTCTGAAAAAAATCTATAATTCTTGATGCTTTCTTTCTTACTGTCTACGGCAGTAATGAGGCCTCACAGGCACCATCACTATCGCGTCTTCCCAGAGGCTAATGGCGCCTCCGCCGTTTGCACCTCGAGCAACGGTATCAATATTCGAAACGGTCCTTCAACATCAAACGGCATCCTTGGTGCTATTGGCTATGGTGCAAGTGTTCCAGTCACTGGCCGCAGTGGCGACTGGTGGCAAGTCAGCTACAATGGCCAAACAGGCTACTGCTATTCCGAGTTTGTACGCGTTCCAGGCACAGTTAATGCCAATGGTGGACTCTTTATCCGCTCCGGTCCAGGCACTGGCTTTGGCATTGTCAGCAGTCTTGCTAATGGCGCTAGCGTTCAAATTACAAATGTTAGAAACAACTGGTTCTATGTAGGCAATGGCTGGTCATCAGGTGATTACATCACAGTTGGCGGAAACCCAGCCCCAGCTCCAGGCCCATCCGGTGGCGTAATTACTGATTCTCAAATGCAAAGAATGGGCTGGTCCGATTACAGACTTGCCGATTTGAATGCATGCTGCTCCAGATTCGGAATTACAACCTCTGCAAGAATTCACCACTTCATTTCCCAGTGCTCCCATGAATCTGGTTGCGGACGCTACAGAAGAGAAATTGCCTCTGATGCGGATTACGAATGGCGCAGAGATCTTGGCAATATCTACGCAGGCGATGGTCCAAAGTACAAAGGCGGTGGCTATATCCAATTAACAGGAAGAGCTAATTACCAAGCTCTCGCTACCTACCTTAATGATCCTAACGTTATTAATATTGGTGTTGACTATGTCGCCGAGAACCTTCCATGGACATCAGCAGGCTACTGGTGGTACAGAAATGGAATGAACTCTCTTTGCGACAATGGTGCTTCTGTCGAACAAATTACAAGACGTGTTAACGGCGGATACAACGGCCTTGAATCCAGAAGGATGTACTACAATCACGCATGTGGCATCTTCTAAAAAACTTTTAAATAGTTTTCTTTTTTTTGAAACTATGAAATTTTTTTGATGGATTATCATTTCCGTCTGCAAAGATGACAATAACTACACCGATAGCGGCTTTTTAAGGCTCCGGTCCTGCATGATTACTGCATATAGTTAGGACGAGTGTCTAATAAGGAGTAAAAATATACCAATAGATTGCACATATACCAATATTTTGTAAAAATTAAATATTATCTATTTTAAAAATTTTCGAATTTGACTATATTATCGTTTTAAACATGATATATACTAACTTTACTATTTGATATATGATAAATAATGATATTTTAAAAATTGAAAATTTGGATTTTTAAATTTGCAAAGTATATAGTATAGTAAATTCATAAATGAGTATAATGTGCCCAATTATAACAATTTTCAATCATTTGATAATTCTATGACTATGGATTTTTGTACTTCTAATTAAAATAATGTCACTTTTTAATATATTGAGTTTAAGGTTTAAATTTAATTTAAAAAATCGATTTGTTTATACATATTGGAAAGGAATTTTTTGATAATATCTTTTGTATATTAATACATTATGACTTATACTATGTCACCATAATATAAGTTCAAATTTTTATCATGCACATCAATATAAAATTGTAATTCAAAAAACACCTACTTCTATCGTCAAAAATACTCTCAATTTGAAAAAATACATCAAAAATATCAAATTTGCAAACCTAATTCTTCGAAATACCGAAGAAGGTAGAATATACAAATAGTGTCGACAGAAACTATATAATTTTCTTTACAAATTGTCCAAGGGGAACTGAGAGTTTTTTCTTATACGTTGAATTATAAATCAAATTATTGAATGTATTTTTGGAAAATTGAATACTCAATTATCGAAAAACCGTTTTGACAAAAAGTGATTAATACAATATTATTGCCTATATTAAGTAATTATCATATATGATTTTTATTATCATATCAATTAATCGTGCATGAAGTTATTCTCGACGCAAAAATCGTTTTTTATAGGGGTCTTGCAAATTTAATTCTTCTTTCATATATTTTTTTAGAAGCAAACTCACTATATCAAAATAAACTTTAGTTGCATTCTAACAATTTGTCGAAGGGGAACTGAGAGTTTTTTCTTTATTATCAAGATATGACAAAAAATGTTAATATACAATTTTTTAATATTCGACATATATAGCGATAATGTAACATTATATGATTTTATTATATTATGATAGCATATATAAACCTTATCATATTATTAAAACTTTCACAAATCAAAAATATCTAAGGTAGTCACAAAATCTAAGTAGTGAGGCTCTCAAAAATTGAACCGTACTCCATACAAAATTTGTGTACCCTCACTACTTAGATTTTGTGGCCTTCAATTGAGAGGTTAGTTTTGATAGAGCACGTTATAAAATTAAAAGGGAAAAATAAATAAAATTTAAACATTTAATTATATATAATGTAAGGAGTGTAATTCCAAATTTTCTAAAAACTATTCAAATTTGAGCATTTTTTTGGAAATAGTAAATCAAATATGTACATCTAATAACAACATGATTCATCACCTTTTCAAGCTCTGCAGTCAATTTTTTGAAATTTGATTGAAATAAATGTAGCAAAAATTACATTTCATTAGGGAATATATGAGTTTCTCTGGAAACAGGCCGATAAATTTTAAATTTTGTCCAATCAACATGAATGCATTGAGAAATTTGGTTAAATATCTGGAACAATTCAACCATGTATAAATGGATCATGTAATCATCATGAAATGTTAGTGTTAGAGTTCAAAAGAAACAGAATGAGTGGAAATCAAACACAATCTGAATAATTTTAAACGTATACAATCTTTAAGTTTGTATTTTGAATTCTACATATATGATTGTGTAATTCGTTCTTTCAAATTTTCGGATTCAGGCATGTTTTGATAAAATTCATTCCCAAAAACGTCAATTAACAATTAAATTTAGTGTATTTTAAATATATATATATGTATTATATTTTATAAATTATATTAAATTCGCAAAATTTTAAGTTTTAAACAAAAATAAAAAATGTTCAAAATATGAAATTATGCATAGGATATTAAAATTTACATGTTAGCAATTTTTTTGAATTGCTTTCAATTTTCATATTGAAATTTTTAAGATTTTTTTCTGAAATAATAAGCAAGAATATCAACCTAAATAATATTAAATTCCATGCGTTAATTTCCCCTCAAAAGTCATTGACCGCCTCTCAATCTAGATTTTGTGAGTACTTTAGATTCTGTCAAAAAGTGATTTGTCAGATTTTTTCAAAAAAACAAATTACTCATCTAGAAGAGATTGTAAATCAAGTTTACTAATAACAATATAATGTATCACTAATATGCTATAAAATGTCGTGGGCTTTTTTGATTATAAATAGTTTTACCGGTCAAAGTTGAAATTTGTCAAAATACCGAATTCTCAGATAAGATGAACTATAATAGTAATACTCAGTTTAAATATACTATACTATAGTGTATTACATAATGATATTATGTACTAAAATAAAAGTATCAAAAACTCATATTGGTGGAGATATTAAAACTTTTAAAATTGAGAGGGTGGGACCGGAGCCTTAATTAACAATTTTTAAATTATGTTAATATATTCTTCATTTACGAGCCAAACTTCAATTCCAATCTTGACAAATATCATACTGATCTAATATCTTATCACAATGTATTCAAATTCCAATAAATTCTAATATCTAAAAGCATTCTATAAATCAATTTGCTTATCCTAAATCTTTGTCTTAAATTGAACCTTTCAATCTTTGAAATCGAATAAGGAAACTCAAATATTTTTGAATATACTAATATCCTATAATCAATATATGTTTATTTTGCCGAAAGTGGCATGATTACCTTAAGGGCAAGTGTAATAATCTAAGGCCCGAAATTATAATATATCAAATTTGATTTTTTGGTCTAAAGAATCATTGTAAGTTTATATTTTCACACTATATATAGTCAAACTTTATTCAACTCATTCAGAAATAAAGAAATATTAAATACTCTCATAATAATATAAGTTTCTGGATGAATATCTTATAGTTTGCCACTTCATCATTACTAATGTGTTATTCCATATCTATAAACTAAAATAAAACTCATAAATTAATTCTGAAATTTTGTATTCATTCTTTTCCACATGTTTAACATATAGTTTTTTTCTTTTATTGAATTTTAAAGGTATTTTATATGGCACTGTGTTGATTTATAGCTCTAAAATTTTTGAATGTCTGAACAAGACATTAAGCCACATATATACAGTGAGTTGCGAAGTAAGCATAAATACGAAATCGATATATTTAATGCATTGTATCAGTTGAAAACGGAAAATGAAGAAGATTTAAACTCAATTTATAAACTGATCAAAACAGAATTGATTAATTCAAAGAAATATCTCCCTACAAATGCTATCAAAGACATTTTAAATATAATTCCGTATAATAATCGCTATACAAAGTCATTTTTATATCTTTCCAAACTGATATATGATGATTATCATGTTACAGAGGTCAAAGATGCTAAATATATTTCAGACTTCCTGTTTTATAATGAATATGGTATTCAATTAGATATGTCTTATGATTTAAAAGAATTAAAAATAGAAAACATCGATATTCATTCAGAAAATACAATTTACAGAGCAATTATGTATAATGACAAAGAAATATTCATTTCAATCACTGAAACAGAAGGATTTAACAAAAATCAAACACTTAAAAGCAGTTTGTATCCATATTCTGAAGAAGGATATTCATTACTTGAATTATGCTGTTATCATGGAGCAGTTGATTGCTTCAAGTTTTTAAGAACAAAATTCAACTCAGAAATAACTGAAAAATGTCTATAATTTTCTTTTTTAGGACGAAACCAAGAGATCTTGAGTGAATGCTTGAAATGTATAAGACCATATCAAGAATGTATGAAGTATGCAATTATTTCACACAATATTGATTTTGTTACATTCATGATATATGAATACCAAAGATGGATCGATTTAAATGATTGCAGAGACTATAACAATTTCGAATCACTTTTAGTTTATTTCGATCAAACTAAAGATATTAAAGAATGCTTTCTTAATTCTATTTTGTTTGACATTCCATCAGTTTGCGAATATTTCCTATCGCATGGTGCAAACATCAATGGAAAATTATATTATGATAAAACTGCACTTCATTTTGCGGCAATATCTGATAGTAAAGAAATAGTTGAGCTTCTTATTTCACGTGGTGCAAATATCAATGAAAAAGATGATGATGGAGAAACTGCACTTCATTTTGCGGCAAGAGCTAATAGTAAAGAAATAGTTGAGTTTCTTATTTTGCATGGTGCAAATATCAATGAAAAAGATGATGATGGAGAAACTGCACTTCATTTTGCGGCAAGATCTAATTGTAAAGAAACAGCCGAATTTCTTATTTCGCATATTGCAAATATAAATGAAAAAGATAAAAATGGAGAGACTACACTTCATTATGCAGCAGAATATAATAGTAAAGAAACAACTGAATTTCTTATCTCGTGTGGTGCAAATATTAATGAAAAAGATAAAAATGAAAGAACGCCTCTTCACTATGCAGCAATGAGAAATAGTAAAGAGACAACCGAAGTTCTTATTTCGCATGGTGCAAATATAAATGAAAAAGACGAAGATGGAGAAACTGTACTTCATTATGCAGCAATGTGTAATAGTAAAGAAACAGCTGAATTTCTTATCTCGTGTGGTGCAAATATAAATGAAGAAGATAAAAATGGAAGAACACCTCTTCATTATGCAGCAGATAAGAATAGTAAAGAAACAGCAGAAGTTCTTATTTTACATGGTGCAAATATCAGTAAAAAAGATAAGTGGGGGAGAAACCGCTCTTTATTTAGCATCATTAAATAAGAGTAAAAAACACTCAAACTTCTCATTTCACATGGTGCATAAAAATAATGTTTCTACATCAAATGCCTTTTTTCCCCATCTCTCTCGGATATATCTTCCACAATGAATTTCATTAGAATTGAGAAAGTACGTAAAATGATTTTATATCAATAGCAAAAAATGATTGAATTACATTTTTACTAAAAGTTTATCTTTTTTTTTCTACTAATGAAAATAACGCTTTTGGAAAAACAATTTCAAAATTTGGAAGAAAGAAAACATTCATTATGTTCAAATTAAGCATAACAACATATTTACAACAAATACTATTATCTTTCATCAATAGTCTCTATAGTTACATTTTTAGAAGATAATGTAGATGCAATTTCTCAATAGACGGGTAAAACTACCAAACTGGAAAGCAGAAATAAATAGTTATACAAACAATTCCTTATTGTAATGATATTGGAAATAAATGCGGAATAAACTATTCCAAATCCCATTTAATTGTAATTACAATTCTAATGTTGATCATAGAGCATATTTAATTAACACTGCAGGATATATGTTTTGTATTTCATTTGAAGGCTATACAGTGACTATTACAGATTCATATGTTTAATTAAAAACTACACAATATACAAGAAGAAGTGCTAAAATTGAAAGAGATAAATCAAATTCTGAAACTAAAAGCATTTCATATTTTTTCATAGAAAATTGTTTGATAGAACCAAAAGTGTTGACAGAGAATATTTCTTATTTGCAGAAACTATGCATGCAAAAAAGCTAGCTGCAAGTGTCATGTATTAAAAGATCGAAGATGAAAAGTCCTTATCTTTCGCTATCCATCATTGTTCACACATTAAAGAACAGCTTTATTATAACAATTTCTTCAATTTAAGTATGTATTACTATATGGCATTGAAAATCAGCATTAAAAATTGAATGCTGTGTCATAGGGACTTAAGCCTTCTGCATAATGAAGGGATGTTGATCCATTGATGAGAAATTATTCAAAAAAAAAAAATCAACTTAATTAAAAGCGTGATGAGATCTTTGTGGAATCCTTCTGATCAGAAATAAAAAGCGAACCTAAGATAATTTTTCAACCTTATTTTTTCCCCTCAACATTTAATCAATATTTTTCAGAGATTGCCATTTACTTTAGTGAATGCATTAATAATACAGGTTAAATTTTTCATTTGAGGAAATTTGACAAAATAAGAGTTTTAAAATATTTTTTACTATTCAATGATTACAATATATCGATGAAAATCATCAGTCTCAAAAAATCAAACTGAATAGTTTACAACATTCAAATTCTAAACCTTTGTAGATATTAATTATTTCGAAAACAGACCCTTTTTACTATTACAAAGAACTTTCCAAATACAATGAGTGTTACGGTTAAATTTTGAATGTCAAAACTGACGTCAAAAAGTTTTTAAAATTCAAAAAATTTCAGTTTCTCTGAAAAAATCTATAATTCTTGATGCTTTCTTTCTTACTGTCCACGGCAATAATGAGGCCTCACAGACGCCATCATTATCGCGTCTTCCCAGAGGCTAATGGCGCCTCCGCCGTTTGCACCTCGAGCAACGGTATCAACATTCGAAACGGTCCTTCAACATCAAACGGCATCCTTGGTGCTATTGGCTATGGTGCATGTGTTCCAGTTACCGGCCGCAGTGGCGACTGGTGGCAAGTCAGCTACAATGGTCAAACAGGCTACTGTTATTCCGAATATGTTCGTGTTCCAGGTACAGTTAATGCTAACAGCGGTCTGTATGTCCGCTCCGGTCCAGGTACTGGTTATGGTATTGTTAGTAGCCTTGCTAATGGTGCTACCGTTCAAATTACAAAAGTCAGTAACAATTGGTTCTATGTAGGCAATGGCTGGTCATCAGGTGATTACATCACAGTTGGTGGAGATCCAAGTCCAAGCCCATCCCCATCCGGCAGTATTGTTACAGATTCTCAAATGCAAAGAATGGGATGGTCAAACTATAGACTTTCCGACTTGAATGCATGCTGCTCCAGATTCGGAATTACAACCTCTGCAAGACTTCGCCACTTCATTTCACAGTGCTCCCATGAATCTGCTTGCGGTGTCTACACAAAGGAACTTGCTTCCGGAACAGCTTATGAAGGACGCACAGATCTTGGCAACATTTACGCAGGCGATGGTCCAAAGTACAAAGGCGGTGGTTACATCCAATTAACAGGAAGATCTAACTACCAAGCACTCGCTAACTACCTCAATGATGCCAATGTCATTAATATTGGTGTTGATTACGTTGCTAACAATCTCCCATGGACATCAGCAGGATTCTGGTGGTACAGAAATGGAATGAACACTCTTTGCGACAATGGTGCTTCTGTCGAGCAAATTACATTACGTGTTAATGGTGGATACAACGGCCTTGCTTTCAGAAAGACCTACTACAATCGTGCATGCGGCATATTCTAAAACACTTTTAAATATTTAAACTTTCTACTCTTTTTCATATTTTTTGCATTAGATTACAAAAACAGACAGAATTGAGATATTTGCAGTCTAATATCATGAGAATGAGTTTAATTGCACTTAATATTAATGAATACAATGCTTTAAACATGCATGATTTATTTTTATTAATGTGTTATAGTTTTTTAAAGAATATATCACATCTTTTATAACATTTCTAAAAAAAATATCAAATTTGTTATAACAAAGCAAACTTTTTGATCATTAAAATAGCTTTCACATACCATAACTGCTGATTTATAAAGATGTTCACACTTAGGATTGCTCCAATAGCGATATTAAAATATTATTCGAAATTTACAGTCATTATTCATATAAGATAGTTAAAAATACATGTATAAATATCACAACACAAATATAATATATAATTTAATTGATAACAAACAAATAATATAGATAAAAAAAAGAAATTATAACTTATGAATTTGTTCTAACAAGTCATCAATTTGATTATTCTTCTCCGCATCAATGAATATCTTCTTGTACACATCATCAAATGAATTCGGAATGGGGAACTTCCATTTGTCATTTTCAGTTTTTGAGGAAGAATTTTTGGAAATTTTTCGGATTCTTTTTGTTCTTTTTACGTTTTGTCCTTCAGAAGACTTAACACTGCTGCTAATTTCATTTGAACTAATAGAAGAGTTTGTGACTTTTTTCTTTTTCTTTTGGGAACCAGATTTCTGGCTTTGATCTCCAGAAGTTTCTGAAACAGAAGGAGGTTTCGGAAGTGATGTTTTCTTTTTTCTAAGTACTCTTCTTCTCTTTTTCTGTGGCTGAGCTGCATTTGTCTGCTGAGGATTATTATCTTCTGATTTCAATTCAACTGATTCTAATGTCAACAAATTATCAGTGGATTTCTTAATGGTGAATTTTTTGTTCTTTTTCTCATCATTTTCAACAGGAACTAATCTTATTTCGTCTTCTCCGAACTCGATTGTCAGTTCTGTTCTCGTCTGATCTCCTTCAGAAGTATTCGCCATATCAACAGTTCTGAATCCTTCAGGACTTGGCTGAATAGGTCTCAAATACATCGGAAACAATGGCTTCTTTTCCTCCCTGTAGATCTCAAAAGGACTCTCAAATGGACTCATTTCTTCATTGAACGTCGGTTGTGGCAATTTGAATAGATCTGTCACTTTTGACAATTCGATGTCAGAAATTTGTCCGTTTGAATGTAAACTTCTCAAATCTTTAAGAGGGAAACTTACAGCCATTGCTCTTTTATTACCAGCAGCCTTCCAGCAGAAATCAAACAACGACTTTGGAGATCTCGGACAAGCACCATCAATGTTTAAAAACGCAATTGGTGTTTCGCAATTAAACAAATTAGATGCTTCGATAATTCCTCGATCTCTGCATCTTGAATTGCTTAAATCTACGTATTCAATAGTCTTCGATGTTGACAAACATCTCAGTAATGAACATATGTTTGCGCCCATAAATTTGTCACTTTTTCCTTGAATTATCAAACTTTTGAGGGAAGAGAAAGGTATGAATTTTTCCAAGTGTTTTATAAGGTCTCCATCTGATTCCGAGAAGCATCCTGATAAGCTCAGATAGTCTATTTGCGGATTCTTCGTCAGGAAAGTGAAGAAACGCGAGGAAACAGGGTTTTCATCCCATATCAAACATTGCAATCTTTTTATTTCCAAATTTTTCAGAACATTGAACAATCTCTGCCACTCTGAACTGCTCGCTTTGCTGCATGAGATGTCCAACCTGATACTGGAAAGGAATATACTGGAAATAGATGAAAAGAAACTAACTAAACTGTTTTCTTCCCATGAAACATTCGATAATTGTACGGAATTAACTGTTGCAGGCAAAGATGGAAGGGAAGTTGCCGTGTAACTGCATTTGTTCTTGCTCATATTGATCAGTTTGAGGTATTCTAGCTTCGAGTTACTAAAGGTTTTAAGAATTTCAATGATATCTAATGAGCAATCCGCAATTGAGATGGCTTCAATGAAACCGAGGTGTTTGATGATACTGTTTAGGTCTATATTTTTCATTCCATCTAAATTCAGGACTGTAAGTTGCTTCCCAATTGTTGGAAGGAAATTATTATAAAATGATGGATAAGTATTCTCAAGAAAAGCATTTCGGAAGGCAATGGAGCATATGTATTTGTCTGAAAGACACTTGGCAAGGGATCGCAAGTTAGTTTCGTTGAGGTTTGTGTTAGAAAATGATAAACCTTGTAAAGGAATTTCTTTGTTACGAGAAAGATGACGTAAAAACGAATCATAATGCTTAGTAATTGGTCCATCGATCTCTATGTTCTCTAAATAACAACTTTCGCAGACTAATGTTGATAATAAATCAAAAACATCAATTTTATCTGTGCTGTATGTTTTTATCGATGTAACTGATGAACACAGAGGTAGTATATCAAATAATAATTGCATACCTTCGATTTGATTTTCAAATTTTGAAAAATCAACATGTTCCGTTGAATATGTTAAGATTTCTGTTATTTTGTCAAGTGTATTTTTAGATATTTGCGTGTTATTTAACTTTGCTTTCTCTGTAAGTCGCAATAATGCACTGTTAGGTGTTGGTGGCGGTCTTTCATCAGGTGATTCAAAATATCCAAACGATATTAACTCTGTAGGTCGTAAAATTCGAGGAATAATATCTAAAAGAATCGTTTGAATTTGCGGAACTTTTTCTGTTTCAAAATAGACGCGAAATGTTCCGAAAAGAAGATCTACAGTATCTTCTGTGACTTGCATTTTTGATGATTTGAACCAAGAATATGAGACAATGGGAAGATTATCTTTTTTATTGATATATGTGAGGCGAGAATTTGAAATAAGAAGATATTTATCATCTTTTGCTATTAGATCATAAACTGGTGTTACATACCTTGGTACTTCTCCTCGACTTTTCGCACCAGAAATGATAATATCTTCCATATAAAAAACTTTCAAATACTACGGAAAAACGTTTACAATCAAAATCTTAGATTAATCGCAACTAATTAGAATAAATTCCATCCAAGTCACAACATAATTGGCTAAATGAACTTATTTCGAGTGGATATTTTTTGCAAATTGTGACGTTACACATGAAAACGAGTTTAGGCATCACAATGTAAACCATTCAATTTTGAATGGTATACTGGTGGCCTAAGGGAAAAATTTGATATTCCCCACTTTTTGCAAAAGTGTGGATCCAAAAATATTTCCGCGAAGCATAGAAAATTAAAATTAGAAAAAAAAAAAAAAAAAAAAAACAATAAAATGACTAAAAAAACATAGTTTTTTATTTTTGGTTTCCCCACTGTGGGGATTTTCCGGGAGGGGGTGGGGAACTCTCAATTTCCTTAATATATAGTTGATAATATTTTTAACGTTTTCAAATTGGGTTTTGAGGGAATTTGTAAATTCTATCGTACTCGTTTGTGAGAATCGGAGGTTTTATACATTAAAATATTTTTGCCATTGTGTCAAAAATAAAGTAGCCGATTATGAAAATGTCTCAAAGGGATTTTATTGTTTTCGTGTGCATTTGAAAATTTATCATTAAATCGACATCTGAACCCGTCAGCAATTTTTGAACACGAAAAATTTGGAAACGTTAACGTAGCACATTTTTCTGGGTCCAGGAAATTTGACGGGTCCTGGCGGTTTTTAATTCAATTTTTGAAGAATGTGTTTGATTTTGATAAGAGAACGATATAAAACCGATTGTAAATTTTGTAGACTATTCAAAATTCCCCAAAAATTCATCATTTGCAATATTTCAAATATAAGTGTTTCTATGGGCAACTATTTTAAATAATACCCAGGACCCTCAAGAAAATGTGGACCCAAAAAATGTGCAACGTTATATAGTTTACCAAAATTTTCAAAATCGAAAAATCACTAAAATACGGTAGGAAGTTTTATTATTATTTTATTTAAGGGTACCCTAATGACGATAACGTAAACATCACAAAAATAACATTATTGAGCCTGAACATATGACTCTCCTTGATTCTAGGTACTTAATGTAATAGCCTTAAAAATTCTAGAGTCTATCGTCTTTACGGCACCATTAATTTCATTTTTTTTTAGATTCAAAATAACTCTTGAAGGAACTTTTGAATCAGTCAATGTCTAACGCTCTCTAGAGCTCGGAACAAGTGCTTCACATACTCCAATTCCTCTTCAGAAGTTATTTTAATCTTTTTTTACGCTCTAAATTTTCTTCAATTTTTTGTTTACTTACACTGTTAGATAATTATAATTAAAAAAAAGATAAAGATAATTCTTTAATGCTATTGTCTATTACGGTATGAAGAGTTACAAATTCATATTTATTAAGCATTAATATTTACCCCGTGTGAAATAAGGAATTCGGCTGTTTCTTTACTGTTATTATGTGCAGCTGTATAAAGAACTGATCATCCATCATTGTCTTTAGCATTGACATCGGCACCATGTGAAATAAGGAATTCGGCTGTTTCTTTACTATTACTTTCTGCTGCAGAATGTAAAACTGACCATCCATCATTGTCTTTAGCATTGACATCGGCACCATGTGAAATAAGGAATTCGGCTGTTTCTTTACTATTACTTTCTGCTGCAGAATGTAAAACTGACCATCAATTTTTGTCTTTAGCATTGACATCGGCACCATGTGAAATAAGGAATTCGGCTGTTTCTTTACTATTACTTTCTGCTGCAGAATGTAAAACTGACCATCCATCATTGTCTTTAGCATTGACATCGGCACCATGTGAAATAAGGAATTCGGCTGTTTCTTTACTATTACTTTCTGCTGCAGAATGTAAAACTGACCATCCATCATTGTCTTTAGCATTGACATCGGCACCATGTGAAATAAGGAATTCGGCTGTTTCTTTACTATTACTTTCTGCTGCAGAATGTAAAACTGACCATCAATTTTTGTCTTTAGCATTGACATCGGCACCATGTGAAATAAGGAATTCGGCTGTTTCTTTACTATTACTTTCTGCTGCAGAATGTAAAACTGACCATCCATCATTGTCTTTAGCATTGACATCGGCACCATGTGAAATAAGGAATTCGGCTGTTTCTTTACTATTACTTTCTGCTGCAGAATGTAAAACTGACCATCAATTTTTGTCTTTAGCATTGACATCGGCACCATGTGAAATAAGGAATTCGGCTGTTTCTTTACTATTACTTTCTGCTGCAGAATGTAAAACTGACCATCCATCATTGTCTTTAGCATTGACATCGGCACCATGTGAAATAAGGAATTCGGCTGTTTCTTTACTATCTTTCTGCTGCAGAATGTAAAACTGACCATCCATCATTGTCTTTAGCATTGACATCGGCACCATGTGAAATAAGGAATTCGGCTGTTTCTTTACTATTACTTTCTGCTGCAGAATGTAAAACTGACCATCCATCATTGTCTTTAGCATTGACATCGGCACCATGTGAAATAAGGAATTCGGCTGTTTCTTTACTATTACTTTCTGCTGCAGAATGTAAAACTGACCATCCATCATTGTCTTTAGCATTGACATCGGCACCATGTGAAATAAGGAATTCGGCTGTTTCTTTACTATTACTTTCTGCTGCAGAATGTAAAACTGACCATCCATCATTGTCTTTAGCATTGACATCGGCACCATGTGAAATAAGGAATTCGGCTGTTTTCTTTACTATTACTTTCTGCTGCAGAATGTAAAACTGACCATCATTGTCTTTAGCATTGACATCGGCACCATGTGAAATAAGGAATTCGGCTGTTTTCTTTACTATTACTTTCTGCTGCAGAATGTAAAACTGACCATCCATCATTTTTGTCTTTAGCATTGACATCGGCACCATGTGAAATAAGGAATTCGGCTGTTTCTTTACTATTACTTTCTGCTGGCAGAATGTAAAACTGACCATCCATCATTGTCTTTAGCATTGACATCGGCACCATGTGAAATAAGGAATTCGGCTGTTTCTTTACTATTACTTTCTGCTGCAGAATGTAAAACTGACCATCCATCATTGTCTTTAGCATTGACATCGGCACCATGTGAAATAAGGAATTCGGCTGTTTCTTTACTATTACTTTCTGCTGCAGAATGTAAAACTGACCATCCATCATTGTCTTTAGCATTGACATCGGCACCATGTGAAATAAGGAATTCGGCTGTTTCTTTACTATTACTTTCTGCTGCAGAATGTAAAACTGACCATCCATCATTGTCTTTAGCATTGACATCGGCACCATGTGAAATAAGGAATTCGGCTGTTTCTTTACTATTACTTTCTGCTGCAGAATGTAAAACTGACCATCCATCATTGTCTTTAGCATTGACATCGGCACCATGTGAAATAAGGAATTCGGCTGTTTCTTTACTATTACTTTCTGCTGGCAGAATGTAAAACTGACCATCCATCATTGTCTTTAGCATTGACATCGGCACCATGTGAAATAAGGAATTCGGCTGTTTCTTTACTATTACTTTCTGCTGCAGAATGTAAAACTGACCATCCATCATTGTCTTTAGCATTGACATCGGCACCATGTGAAATAAGGAATTCGGCTGTTTCTTTACTATTACTTTCTGCTGCAGAATGTAAAACTGACCATCCATCATTGTCTTTAGCATTGACATCGGCACCATGTGAAATAAGGAATTCGGCTGTTTCTTTACTATTACTTTCTGCTGCAGAATGTAAAACTGACCATCCATTTGTCTTTAGCATTGACATCGGCACCATGTGAAATAAGGAATTCGGCTGTTTCTTTACTATTACTTTCTGCTGCAGAATGTAAAACTGACCATCCATCATTGTCTTTAGCATTGACATCGGCACCATGTGAAATAAGGAATTCGGCTGTTTCTTTACTATTACTTTCTGCTGCAGAATGTAAAACTGACCATCCATCATTGTCTTTAGCATTGACATCGGCACCATGTGAAATAAGGAATTCGGCTGTTTCTTTACTATTACTTTCTGCTGCAGAATGTAAAACTGACCATCCATCATTGTCTTTAGCATTGACATCGGCACCATGTGAAATAAGGAATTCGGCTGTTTCTTTACTATTACTTTCTGCTGCAGAATGTAAAACTGACCATCCATCATTGTCTTTAGCATTGACATCGGCACCATGTGAAATAAGGAATTCGGCTGTTTCTTTACTATTACTTTCTGCTGCAGAATGTAAAACTGACCATCCATCATTGTCTTTAGCATTGACATCGGCACCATGTGAAATAAGGAATTCGGCTGTTTCTTTACTATTACTTTCTGCTGCAGAATGTAAAACTGACCATCCATCATTGTCTTTAGCATTGACATCGGCACCATGTGAAATAAGGAATTCGGCTGTTTCTTTACTATTACTTTCTGCTGCAGAATGTAAAACTGACCATCCATCATTGTCTTTAGCATTGACATCGGCACCATGTGAAATAAGGAATTCGGCTGTTTCTTTTTACTATTACTTTCTGCTGCAGAATGTAAAACTGACCATCCATCATTGTCTTTAGCATTGACATCGGCACCATGTGAAATAAGGAATTCGGCTGTTTCTTTACTATTACTTTCTGCTGCAGAATGTAAAACTGACCATCCATCATTGTCTTTAGCATTGACATCGGCACCATGTGAAATAAGGAATTCGGCTGTTTCTTTACTATTACTTTCTGCTGCAGAATGTAAAACTGACCATCCATCATTGTCTTTAGCATTGACATCGGCACCATGTGAAATAAGGAATTCGGCTGTTTCTTTACTATTACTTTCTGCTGCAGAATGTAAAACTGACCATCCATCATTGTCTTTAGCATTGACATCGGCACCATGTGAAATAAGGAATTCGGCTGTTTCTTTACTATTACTTTCTGCTGCAGAATGTAAAACTGACCATCATTTTTGTCTTTAGCATTGACATCGGCACCATGTGAAATAAGGAATTCGGCTGTTTCTTTACTATTACTTTCTGCTGCAGAATGTAAAACTGACCATCCATCATTGTCTTTAGCATTGACATCGGCACCATGTGAAATAAGGAATTCGGCTGTTTCTTTACTATTACTTTCTGCTGCAGAATGTAAAACTGACCATCAATTTTTGTCTTTAGCATTGACATCGGCACCATGTGAAATAAGGAATTCGGCTGTTTCTTTACTATTACTTTCTGCTGCAGAATGTAAAACTGACCATCCATCATTGTCTTTAGCATTGACATCGGCACCATGTGAAATAAGGAATTCGGCTGTTTCTTTACTATTACTTTCTGCTGCAGAATGTAAAACTGACCATCCATCATTGTCTTTAGCATTGACATCGGCACCATGTGAAATAAGGAATTCGGCTGTTTCTTTACTATTACTTTCTGCTGCAGAATGTAAAACTGACCATCCATCATTGTCTTTAGCATTGACATCGGCACCATGTGAAATAAGGAATTCGGCTGTTTCTTTACTATTACTTTCTGCTGCAGAATGTAAAACTGACCATCAATTTTTGTCTTTAGCATTGACATCGGCACCATGTGAAATAAGGAATTCGGCTGTTTCTTTACTGTTACTTTCTGCTGCAGAATGTAAAACTGACCATCCATCATTGTCTTTAGCATTGACATCGGCACCATGTGAAATAAGGAATTCGGCTGTTTCTTTACTATTACTTTCTGCTGCAGAATGTAAAACTGACCATCCATCATTGTCTTTAGCATTGACATCGGCACCATGTGAAATAAGGAATTCGGCTGTTTCTTTACTATTACTTTCTGCTGCAGAATGTAAAACTGACCATCCATCATTGTCTTTAGCATTAACATCAGCATCATGCGAAATCAAAACTTCTTCTATTTCTATGCAATTTAATTTTGCTGCAAAATGAAGTGCAGTCTCTCCGGATTGATTTTTTGCGTCAATGAAAGCACCATGTGAAATGAAATATTCACATAGAGAAGGAATGCAAAAGCATGTTGAATAAATAAAGAATTTGTTAATGTATTTTGATTGATCTAAATAAACTAAAAATGCTTGAATATTGTGGAAAATGATGCAATACTTTAAATCAATATCTAACTCGAATTCATTCATTAAAAAGGTAACAAAATCAATATTGTGTGAAATAATTGCATATTTCATGCATTCTTCATCTGGAATATTAACTTGCAAACATTTATCAATAATGTCTGGATTTCCACCCAAAAAGGAATAATAAAGACATTTTGGTGTTATTATTGAATTAAATTTTGAAATTAACAACTTAAAACAATTAACGGCTCCATGATAGCAACATAACTCAAGCAATGAATTAGGTGAAGATGGGTACAAATCACTGTGTAACATTTGATTTTTGTCGAAGTTATTTGACTCCGTGAAAATTATGAAAGAAAACTTGTCATCATATATAATAGTTCTGTAAATTGTATTGTCTTCAATAAAATTCAATGAATAATCTTTAGTTTCATTTGCTTCGATTCCAGAACTATACCTCGTTGATAATAAAATATTATTTTCATCTTGTAAATCTCCCCACAAAATGTATGGAATGCGTTGAACTTCTTTTCTGGTAAAGATTAGATGATATTCTTGATAAATCATTTTGAAAATTTCTTTGTATGACTTGATGTACTTGATATTAAAAGCCATTGCAGTAGAAATTATTGTTAGAATTTGATTTGGAGATGCATGTTTGGTTTCAAACATTAAATTTTTGATATCAAGATAAATTTTGTTAATTCCTTCTTCACTGAAAGTCTTCAGCTTATACAATGAATCATATACATAATTAAAGTCTTTGTACAAATCCATCAACTCTTCATAATTTACTTTCTTCATGAAAATGAAAAAACAAATTTTTTTATAAAAAAGTGAATTTCTGAAGTTTACAATATCTTCATAAAAAATGAAAGCAATTAAATGGCATTAATGAACATATTCTGTAGTTATATTTCATGCTACAATATTTCAAGGTCTTTACTTTCCTTATGATTAGACAGATTCAATATATACTGCAAATAGTATTAATAATTAAGACATAATTCAGCTTAATCGGCTTGTAGGCATTAATATAAAATCTCCAAATGCTAATAAAATTGTGCTATAGATATATTACCATATATTAGGAATTAATTTGCATAATTACACAAACATTATTCGATAAATTCTTGTTAATTTTTTTTAAATAAAAATTCAAAGTTTAGTTTTTAACTCAAAGATTTTTGAATGGATGTCCTGAATAAATCCAATATTAGGTATTTTGAAGTGCCAGGAATCATTGTTCTGGGATTTTCCCTGCAAATCATTAATTTTGTTATAAAAAACGATGCGTTACCAAGGTGAAGTGAAATGAATCAAAGAAAATTTTTATCATCAATTGATAAGTGAATCAGATTTCAAATTAGAGAATGTTTTGCTTTCATATATCAATTACATCCAAATTTTTTTGAAAGGAATGTTTTTTTTTGGTAAATTTCTCTTCAATATTGGAATCGAAATGGATTCGTCTATCATTATGATAGGTTTCTTGAGACCACGTTTATATTATTTTTCTGCTTTTGAACTCAGTTCTTTTACATTTTCATTAATATATTTCTTTTTTTTATATATATATTAAAAAAACTAAAGAATCCAAGATAAAACGACTGTTTTAATAATAAGCAATATAAGCAATATTTGGTGAAAAGTAAAATATACAAACAAAAAAATAAAAAATAAAATTCAAAATATTATATAGTAACTAACTTCTTCGCGAGAGAATCGAGATTAAAATCATTGTTAAATGAACTTTGAATCTTCGAATCCTTGTCATAACTCATGACATGAGTATGATAGTTATTAAAGTACTGAGAATCATTCAAGAACAGTTCCTCAGTATTCTCCCACTTAACAGCTGACAATGACGAATAAGAGAATGTCAATGAAGTGAAATCATCACAATCGAAATTAAATTCCGAAGGTTGAAGAGCAGGAACAATAATTTGTTGGGGTTCAGGCTGTGGACTAACATCTTCTTCATCTAAATTGATCTGATCCGACATCATATCATCATCATCCGAGTAATAACCGGCCAAAATATCAGATTCTTCATCAGAAACGTCATCTGTAATGACATATGATGTTGTTTCTTGCTTTGGTCTGGCTTTCTTGACAACAACAGGTTTGGAAATCTTGAAATTCATAATAACTTTAAGTTTCTGTTGCATTTGTCTCATCATAGGAATAGTTAATGGCTTTGCCTTCTTCTTGGTTTTCTTGCTGATGGCAATCATGTCATTCCTTGGGAATTCGACCCAAATTGAGAGCTTCCTATTCAATAAAAATTCAATGAAGTCCTCAAAATTCTGATACTTGTGCGGTTTGTTTCCATCCAATAGAATTCCTTCACAATCTGTGTTCTTTTTCAAGAAATCTGTGAGAACAATGTACGCGTCATCCTTCAAGTTGTTGTCTCTGATATCGAAATACTTGATCTTCTTAGTTACAACGTTTTGGAAAATGAATTCCAAAGTATCGATGTCAATAACTTTATCTTCTACGCCTTGGAAGGTCAATTTCGTGATCGTGTTGTTCTCGTCAATGAAATCAAGGAAATCGTCAACTGTTTGGTCGTTCGGCTCGAAGCAACCGCCGATAATAAGATGATCTAATTTTGGTGATCGAGAAAGGAAGTTAAATAGGTACCTATGGAGTGGATTACATGACCATTTGAAGGTTTTGAGATGTCCGATCGACTGTTTCTTGACGTGTTTGAAGAAATGCTTCAAATACTCATCTTGAATTTTTGCTTGAGAAAAGTCAACTGAAATCGTAGCATCTGAGGAGACATTTGCCTGGGAAATGGCATGAGTAATCGATTCCATTGTTCGATCAGACCAAGTAATATTATTTGCGATTAACATTTGGAAGCGTTTAGGGAATTTGCATTTGGAAGATAGAGGTTTTTCGCAGAAATTTCCATTGCAAACGATGTGTCTCATCTTCGTGGACTTCATGGAACACAATGCTTCTAATGTTGGAGAAATATCAACGTCATTGTTGGAGAAATCAAGTTGCATCAAGTTTGGAAGTCTGAAAATGGCCTTTCCTGGTGATAAATTTTTGATTTTGGAGATCTGTAATTTTATCAAAGAGTTAAAAACGCTTTCTGACTCTAAAACTTGAGAGAGTGAAACGTTCTTTTCTTCGCAGTTAACAAATCCCATTCCTCTGATGCCGACTTGGGTTAAAAGATCCGTAATAATTTTTAACGATCTTTCTGAAATTGTTGCATCGTGGAATGAAATAGAAACAACTTTTGAAAGTGAGTTCTGCGATAAAGCTTGTGTAATTTTCTTTATACCGTCTAATTTGTGGTCATGGAAAATTAAACTCTTGATAATTATATTCTTACGGAGCAAAGTAGCGAGATCATTCCAAGTATCTTCATATTTAGTCTTCGGAACGCTAAGGTTTTCGAGTTTTGGAATAATTTCAAAAGTTTCAAAAATAACATCGCTGAAGTCTTCATAATTTGGAATTTGTCCGAGATCGTATACTGGATCATTATGCTTAATGAATTTCTTTGTCGCCACTAAGTAATCATTGAGGAATTTCTTTGTTGGTTCAACATTATTTTCTCTGCATTTATACAAAAGACGTTTGACTTGAGGTATTACTTTGTCATCTGTATCAGGTGATGGTATGTCTTGTTTAACACTAATTTTTGGCAATTCTTGAGGGGCAAAAATATTTACTAATGTTTGCAAAATAACTTCAAGAAGTGTATCTTGCTGAGGATCTCTCCAACGAAACGTGCCGGATGGAAATTTGAAAAATATGTCGTTATTATCTTTTTGACTTACTTCCTTTAAATCTCCCCATGGAATTAGCTTGTCAAAATCGACTTTTTTCTTATAGAACTTGGATTTATATAAATATATACCATAATTTGTGGCTAAAAAGATACGATGACCAACGGAACCATCAGACTTCACAGACTCAACCTTTCGTATAAATAGTATTGGCTCAATCAATCTTGATGGAATTTCTGGAATACACTCCAGTAAATTGTCATCAATAAGCTTCATTGTCTAAAAATTGTCACTTTTGACAATAATTGTGATAAAGTCAACAAATTAAAAATGATATGGGAAATGAATGTTATCAATAACGAAGAAAATAAAACTTTTCGGTTTTTTTTATAAAAAAGTTCCTTTATCAATTGAATTTGATAGCAGGAAATTTATAAACTTTTTTAAATAGTTTAGTAGAGATATTAATGTCAATCAGAAATATATAGATATTTTTCTTTTCCACTGTAGAAATAAAACGGATCCTAGATTTTGATTTTTTATTTACACATATTGTAAAAGCAGAATATCATAAATTTAAATTAAATAAAATAATTTAGATTTTTGAGAGGCTATGGTTTTATCATTGAAACAATTATGATAATTAAGCATTAAAGATGAAAAAGAATTAAAAATAATTTTCTTATTTCTGACATCTGACTTTCGATGGTTTTTAGCCCAGTTAGACTATTTTATTGACTCAGAATATACGAATAAAGCTATCAGATAATTTTATCTTCATTGAAATCCAGATTCTTACTCTTTTTGCATCTGAGTTTATTCTAGAGGATTTTTTTTGCCACTAGAACATTAACAAAATATGATCGACATTCATTCAAATTCTGATCGGCATGTCTTAAACGTTTAACGTAAGATATGAAACCATTGATACAATAATAGATACAAATAAATCAAATACATAATTTAGAAAAGCCAATTTATCATATCGTGTTACCTTTTCCTATTCTGCAATGCCCAAATATAATTTTATATCTGAAATGAAATAGGTTCTGTAATCAAAACATCCTTAATTTCAACATTGTAATATGCGATATAAGAGAGACAGAATAAATTCAATCCAAAAAATGTCCAAAAATTTCAAAATCCAATCCGGAATGATTTTAAATCATTAAGCAATCTAATATGAATCATATTAATTTCACACTATATTTTTTAGCGCGCATTCTTAAAAAAACAAGGCTGATTTTAGCTGACCCAGTAGATGTAAAAGTGACAAATTTAGAATCAATAAAGAACGGTATTTATAAATACAGTAATTCTAAGTAGATTTTTATTCATGTCTTGTTTAGCATTATTATTTACTTTTAAATCAATAAATAATTGAAGATTGATTTTTTTCAAAGATTTTTTCAATTAGAGTGAAAAATTTTTATGAATTCAAATAGCTTGTATATCGAAAACCAGTAAATTGTAATGGGGACAAGAATGTGGACGTACGATATTACCAAACACTTATCTTCATAGAATTCTATTTGGCCGCTTCTCAAAAATATTAAATAGGCATACAATTTTTTGAGAACTAAATTGAAGGGCCTAAACAATATAATTGGCTATATGGAACAAGAAGGAACTACGCCTGAAAGCGAACCTGATTATTTACGCGCATTGACTAATGAAGATAGAGAGAAATATAAGCAATTACGTAATAAGTTTTGCAACAATCAACATGATCAGAATCAAGTACAAAATTTGGACGAAATAATTAGCCAAATACACGATTTCTCTGTTAGAGGTGATGAGTATGATGGCGCTCGATCTAATGTTTGCGGTATTTGTCAATTGGACAATGGTATTGCAGTAAACTCAATGCACTTGTCCTATATGACAGGAAACTCAAAGAACACAATTAATTATGCTTTTAACAAATTGAACTATCAAAATGTCCCAGCAACAACAGAATTAGTCGAAAAAATGCCTCAGCTTAAAGATAACACTCGCGAACTCAGAATGTGGTCTGTTAAGCGTCTTGCAGACTTAACTCCAGCACCAAAATTCAATATGTCTCGTAAAGTTATCATTCAACAAAAGTCTTTATCTCCTTTACCGAATCTCCAATCTACAGCACTATTTCATAACCAATGGAGTTACGAAGATTACCGTGAGGCTGAACAGGGACAACAACCTCAAGATGCAACTTTCTTCGATGATCCATTCAGTATTCCTCTCGATCAATGGAATAATAGCGATGATGAGCAGTAAGTTTTTAAGCGTTTTTGATGTATAAAATGTTGTTTGAATTTGTTTTAGTTATATTGATATTTTTTTTTCTTTTTCAATAAGTTTTTATCTCATAGGAAATGTTAACAATCAATCAATTCCTTCTACGGATATCAAGTCCTTTCTTTGAACTAACGATGATTTGAAATCAATTTTTAAGTTCTGTCCTATCGTTTGTAGATATTATATAATATTGAGGGCTTACTAAAACATGTGGTTTGGAAAAATATAAAGATTAGATCTAACAATTAAATACATATTTATTCAGACAAACAATTCAGTAATAGAGTCAGGAATCTCAAATTTAGATACACCAAGGAATGGGGGAGTGCTATATTTCAAACGAATGAACTTGGATTCTTCGCGGTCGGGCATTGTTAAAATTTCATATGCATCCTTGATGTGTTCAGATAAATTTTCAAGTGAATAACCAGTATATCCTTCTAATTTTTCATTCCACGGTACCTCTCCATAATAGACACGTGTAATAACAATTGAGGTTGAAGCAACTGCTGATGGCCTTACATCAATAAAGTTAGAACATGTCATGCAAACTTCCATGACATATCTAGCAAAAAGCATGGACTCTTGAGTCTGGCCACTGATTCTGAGTAGAATTCCCAAAAAGAAATACGGTGTTGGGAAAGCGAAGTCAAAGTCCACAATATTTGCAAGTTGCATCTCTTTCTTACGAAGTTCATCCTTCGTGAAAGCATTTTTGGCACAATTAACTGCAATTTCCACTTGAATCGGAATAATGTCTTCCATCTTTGAAGCGATCAAAAGAGCAGCACATCCAAAAACTTGCATGTTCTCGGAGTTTATATCTGTAAGATTGAGAGCTCTATCAAATAGGCCGATCGCGCGATATAGCGTTCTCGTATTTAATTGAGCTTTATAATGAATTCTATCTATCCAATCTATTAGAATACCGCGTTGCTTTGGAGTCAATTCTGACTTAACAAGACAATTTGGAAATCTGAGTTCTCTTTCCCTCATTGTTCTGTATATTATATGTTCATAGTCTGTAACATCTTGAGAATCTTCTGGATCACCTATTGGTATCTCTATATGAACAAATTTTCCTTTGTTTATTTGAGAATCATCATTTTCCTCAGAATATGAATTTTTTCTATTACCATCAGATAATACCATGTCAATTTCATCAGGAACTTCTTCCTGATCATCAAATATCTCCGGTGGGATTGATGATCTGAGCTTTTCGTGCTGATTACCATTATTTATTCTTGAAAAAGGGCGTGGACGTCCTTTATTATGACTATTTGTTTCAGCAATCTTTGGTTGATCACTTCCTTTATGGATCTTGAAGAAGAAAGATTTCATCCACGAAGAAATAATTAAACGGATGCAAAAAGCATTCATTTAGAATTTATTCCGTGTAAATATCACAATAAAATTCAATTTTGATATCAAACAATTTTTTGTTATAAGAAGACCTTGTTATCAATATCAAATCAATTTATACAAATTCGATATTTTGGAAGATTATTGCAATCATCAATTGTTTTCTTACAAATGTGGCGTTGAATCATACTTTAGCTAGGGCAGGTTAACAGGCTATTGTGCAAAATTCTGATCGCCATCAGATTTTTCCAAATTTATCCATAACCCTTAAAACATCCTTTCAATAAAGGAAAAAATTACTTAGAATTTGGTTTATCTGATATCAGCTTTTCGCAGCTCATTCAATAAATTTGTTGAAACTTCATTTATATTGGAAACATAAGAAGCAATGCATTATTGAAAATACACATTTTCCGCACAACTTATGCATAAGTTGATAGAATTCGATCCATTCGATTGAAAGAAATCACAAACTGAATCTTTTTTATTTGCGAAAATTAGATATTCTCCATTAATAATTAATCACCATCAGAGTGTTAATTAAATGATTTGATCATTTAAATAAAACATGATTTATTCAGATGTCAAGATGATATAGGAACGATAAAAGCAGTTTTGCCATTCCGGTTAAATGTTCCTTAACCTCATTCTTCCTGGCGCTAAAACATGGAAACCATATTGGGTTGAAATCCACGATAATTTCCTCGATATTTCTGTCGAGTATGGCAAAGAAGCTTTCACTTCTTACCATATTGGCGTATTAAAAGTCCGCCCTTCAAAGGACTTCCCTGACCGCCCAGATGTACTTGAATTTTACGATGGTGATGGTCTTACACAAGTTCATTTCTACGTATTTACATACGATCCATTTGATATCCTCGAATTCTTCAAAGGAATTTGCGCTTCTTACAAGAACTGGCGCGAAACAATTCAGCGCGAAAATCAACCACAGCAGTTTACATGCGAAGTTAAGCCACCGGGCTTTTTCAGTGCAAATGTTGATTGGAAAGTTTCACAAGACAGAATCTCTATAGTAAAGAGTGGCCGCGAAGAATCATCTATCTTTCTTAAAGATTTACAATCAATAACTCCATCAGCGAGCTCATCAAAGCCAAATGCATTCAAATTCTCTCTTAAGAACGGTGGTGATAAGGATGAACATCGCTGCCTTACTCTTGATAATATGAAGCGTTTACTTGATGCTATTTATACAAATACGTTCATTATCAAATCTGCCTCCGAAGGCGCTGCTGCTCCAAGTGAGTAAATTTATATTTGATATCCGCGCTAGTATTGCATGGTATTAATTAACAAGTTTTATTTCGAATATTAAACAGAAAAAAAAGTTTAATTTAGTTAATATTTAATAACTTTATATCCGACCTTTATTCTTAAAAATATTTAAATCTAAGTCATAATATTTGAATTTAATCTTACTTTAGGAACCGATTTTTATATTTCATTTTTCGATTTGAAGATTATGAATTTTTCATACGGAATATTTTCCATGTTTCATGTGAGAATTGCAGATATTTAATTAGATTTATTTGTTTTGCTTATATCGGAAAGGCATAATTATATTTTCAAAATTCTATGATAGAACATGATAAGCAATATTCTTTTTCATGCACATAGTGCTTAGCAGACAAATAGCATCTCTCAAAAGTACTCATAAATTTGCAATTAGAATTGATAAAGGTTTCACATGAAGATTCTTTTTAATTCAATCAATAGGGATGAAAAATCAGATTTATCGGAATTGGAATTTACTATAAATGCTACAATAAGTCTTAGAATTAGAAAGAATATTGAATTACTTTCTTCTTAATTATGGGATGACTGTCTGTTGCACTTCCAAAGATAGAAGCCATTTGAGTTCTGATAGATTAAAAGATGATTTCTTGATGAAATGAATGATTAGTGAAGAAATCTTTTGAGGTGTCACTTTTCTCAATAAATACGTTTCGATGGTAAGTGAGCATATCTTGCTTGCCTTGCTAAAACCATCTGAGCAACGCACAAATGCAGAAATAGAACTTATTGCAAACTTTTGCAGGCTTTTTACTGTTTTTAATGATATACCGGAGCATCTATTTAATGCATTTTGTAGAATTATAGAAATAGAAGAGTACGAAAGTGGGGCAGTTGTATACAATGAAGGTGATATAGGATCAGATTGGTTTATTATTATAGAAGGTACTGTTAATGTTGTTTCAAATGCAAGTTCAACTAATCCAGTAAGTGCCGTCATGAAAATTGGTGATCAATTCGGTAGAAATGCACTTGAGCAAGATGTTATTAGAGCAGAAACAATCACTTGCACGAGCCATGTTTATTTATTACGAGTTAATCGAAGACCATACCAAGAGATTACAAATTCCGCTTCATCAGGCCTTGATGGAGAAGGTCAGGCATTTGCCAATGAGTTTTTATGCCAACTTAATGCAATTCAAGGAATGAATATTGCAACTTCAATTTGCAGAAGAGTTTTCCCATCAAATACAGTAATTATGAAACAGAATGAAGAAACTGAAGGAATATTCTATATCTTAAAAGGATCTGCAGCCGTTGTTCGTGAAGTTGAGTTCAAAGAAAACAAAGTTCCCGTTACCAGACTAATTGAAATTGATGAACTCGTTACTGGTGCTATATTTGGAGTAAGATCGTTATGCCTAGGAACACCAGAAAACGTTTCTGTTATAGCTAAGTGCGAATTAACAACTTTATTCCTTTCCAGATCAGATTTCTTCAGAAAAGTAGATACACAGAAGCAGAAACAATGCTTACCGGCTGATTATCCTGACGATGCAACCATTAGAAAGTTATTTAGAAAGCAAATGAAGTGGGAACAATATAAGAAGAAAGTTGTTAGAGAAGTTTTACAACATAAGAAAGCAAAGAAAGAACTCAGACTCCAGTATTAACACACATTATTTTTATCTTTTATTATGTTTGATATTATTTATGTTATTGATCATTTAAACTTATTTTTTTAATATACCAGTCACCTCAATCTTTTAAACTCTTTAACATTAATGAATATAGAAAAGATATATTTTAAAAATTTTATAATGATCCATGAACCATAATTAGGAATTGCTTAATAAAAGCCTTATAGTTCATACATTTTCACGGTATATTTCCCAATTTTAGATTAAGAGTTGAAGTCGACTTTGTCAGCTCGTGAGTTTATTGTTGGATCGTTAATTTTTTTTTAATTTTGAGTTAATTTTTTTCCTTTTTCCCCAACAATGACACATCGAACTATCATATTGATTAATCACTCAAAAACCTCTCCTTTGTATTCAATTAGTTTACATCATTTCAAAAATTAGATTCATAAGTTTTGATTATTATAATGAAAATGTGTTTCTCAATTCAATATTTGCATCTTTGCAAATTCAATAATTTTCAATGGCTTTTACAAATCAATTTTTTTAATGTTATTACTTCTTTTTGCTGCAGTATCGTGCCAAGTTTTTACTTGTATGCATGATATCCACATGAACAGTGAACTTCGTAAGAGCGAACCAGAGTCGCTTCGCAATCTTCACGATATAACAGCTGCTCTTAATCCAGATGGAACCAATCCAACAAATTCAACTAATGATACTCTCCCAGCACACAATCATCTTAGAATTCACTTCAATATGGATTCGATTAATGATACATCAAAAGATAACCAACAATGCACTGCTGAAGGACATCCACAAACTAAATGTCAGAAAACCGATGTTTTGAACCAAGCCAAGCGCGATATCATTTATTCTACATTCACGTACGTTGAACGGTATTTGAGTGAAAATATTAATGTTACAGATTGGGCAAGGAGTAATGACAAACCATGCGATCTCGAAATCGAAGTCTATGCTCGAGGTGGCAGTTTCGGTGCTAAATCCAGCGGTCTTGCCTTTGCAAGTTCATCTCACTATCATCAACAATCACAAAGACCTATCTCTGGCACTATCACAGTTAACCCATCAAAGTTACCTTCTGAACCACAAACAATTGAATCCGGTGATCGCCAGTTCATTATGACCGTCATTCATGAACTGAACCATATTCTCTCATTCAGTTCATCATTGTTCGGCAAATGGCATCCAAATGGTCGAAATCAAACAGAAAACAAGAAAGTTCTCCACTACACCAATGATAACGGTGTCGAGATCAGCGAAAGCGACTACACATCATACAATAGCACATTAGTTCCACACAAGTACGTCAGATCCTATCGCCTTACTAAATGGGTCAATGATAGATTCCATGTTTTAAATCACGCACTCATTGGACTTGGTCTTGAAATTGAAGACTCCGGTGGTTCCGGTACAGCTGGTTCCCATCCAAACGAAAAGCTTTTCTTCACAGATCTCATGCAAGGTAGAACATACGGTCCAGGCTGGCTTTCACCAATCTTCTACAACACATTGTTAGATACCGGATGGTATGTTCCATCCCCAAACCTCATCGAAGACCTCATTTACTTAGATGACAAATTCAATACAAAGATCTCAGTAAACGAGTCAATTCTTTTGAAACCACCACAGCGTTCTATTCCTCTTCCATACCAATGCCAATCAACCTCTCTCCAGGCTTGCTTCTACGATTACACATGGACAGGCACATGCTCACTTGTTCCATGGAACGATCCAGAAAAAGTTGAACCGGAAGACAGGAATAAAAAAGACTGGTACAATCCAAACGAACAATCACTTGTCGGCCAGGATAACATGCTTGATTACGCAAACTTAGTTCTTCCATGGTATTCATGCAGATCAACAGGTGACAATGGTTTGAAGCGTATGGTTGAGTTCGAACCAGACTACAACTACTCCAAGTATGGTGAAGCATTCTTACCGAACTCAACATGCGCAATGTCCACACTTCAACAAGGTTTCACAGGCAGCTTGCTTTCAACATCAAGATGCTACGAAGCATGGTGTGGTACAGATAACAGAGTCAGATTGATTGTCAACGGTGAAGAGTACTACTGCAAGAAAGATGGTCAACAAGCCAAGTTCTCTGGTTTCGCAGGCTCCATTACATGCCCACCTGCCGCTCAAGTCTGCGCAAACAGAAAATTAAAAGAGATATTTGGTGTTACATCTCTCTTCCCAGATCGTGGACCAATCGATGGACAGAACTTAGTCGCCATCGTTGGTAACAATTATAATAATTACCAAAATGTCACAATTACACTCGGTACAGTTCCTTGCGAAATCAAGGTTTACAAGGATAACTACATCCTTTGCAAGCTTCAAAAGCCAGATGATACTACACAGAAGTTAATCAGAGAGAAGTCTAATATATTGAAGCAGACACTTGACACAAACACTGAAAAGAATGAGTACAGAATGTTCAAGGCATTCTACGTTGTAAAGTCTACAAATAACAGAACTAACACTACTTATCCAGATTCATACTACTTCACAAAGAGGAAGTATGACACAGGAATGAAGGACTAAAAGAGTTCAATCTTTTTCAATATTGAAAAAGTTGAATATAATTTTTTTTTCTCTAATTATTTAGTATTATATATTGATCTATGCCTTTATTTGGGTGTTTAATGCTTTATTTATTAAGTGCACGAATTGTATTCATCATGAAAAATTAAAGGTAACTAAACTACTTTCGCCGATCCGATTTGCTCCATATTTAAAATATAGCTTGCATATGTAGAAGAAAAGCTAATTTTGAAGTACGCCCGAAATCCACCAACAGGATTTCGAGCTACTAAAAAGGTACTTTTAAATGTGATTTTTTTTATAAAAAATTAAATTTATTTTAAGATCAGACTAAAAACTAATTTTATGGAAAATCTATATCGACAAATTTATTACTTATTGGGTATATAGATTTTTTGATTATGGCGATTATGTCTGATATGCTTCCAATAAGCCAAAACACATTTCATACTGATTTCTATAAAAGGTATCTTTATTATAGAAGTGTAAGCTATATCTGTTTGTTTTTTTATTATAACAAATTCAAAATTCTCTTATAAGGATTAGATGAAATCTGTATTACTAAATCATTAGCTAAATGAAGGTTCAAATAGAAAGTAAATATCAATTTATATGATACTGAAACCAAATAGTTCTTTTAATAAAAGATAACACGCTGAAAATTATTGAGTATTTGCAAATCTCAAAAATCTATTGGTGAATTTGGCTCAACTTTTAAAATTATAACATCCATATCAAATCATAAAAGCAGACAAAAATTAAAGCCAAACCTATCGGCCAATTTTTTTTGATATTTTGATTTTTGAGGTATACTTTTAAAAGTGGATTTAAAGCACTTATGAAAAAAACATTAACTTCTGTCGTTATGATTATTGATTTAGACAATAATGATTTTAATCTTTGATTATCAAAACACTAAAGTCATCTTTTTAACATTTGCTTGGTAGCATTAACTCAAGTCTAAAGTACTATTTTATGTGGCACTCTTAGAATTTTTGTATTCATTGTACACGCTGAAATAGTACCATTAAAGTTATGGCGGACTTTCAAAAAATAGTTTGGTCACCTTTGAAAAATTTGAAATGTTAAATTCATTTTCCTATCTCTTGATCAAAGATAGTAAGTGAATATAAATAAAATTTATAAATAATATAAATTTGACTTTTTTTTTTGAAATAAATAACAAATAAAAAATCTTTGTATTGTTTTTATTCCTTATTTTAGCAAAAAGTATAATTAATATTTTTAGACACTCAAAAACCTCTGATGCGCTTTCAATTTTCTGACGACTACACAAAAATCTAATCAATTATTTTTAATAATGAATAATTATCAAAGGATATTAAAACATAAGCATTTTTATTAAAGGCCATAATTCAATTATATTGAAATGCAACTCAATTCAAATTTATCATATGTTCTTACACCTTTTTGCTTCAGCAGTTAACTCACAAGTATTCACATGTATGCATGATATTTACACGAATCAGCAACTTCGTTCAAGTGAACCAGAATCATTGCGAAATCTTCGGGATGAATCAACTTCAACTCCAGAATCAAATCCAAATGAAAATCAATTTAAGGATGGGCACTCATAGGCTCCTGACAGCATAAAAATGTTATTATCTCACAATATAAAAGGAATCATAGGAATCTACAACTATATCTATATTGTTGGAAGACTTCTTAATGTATCATGCATATAAGTTATATCAATAACTCCATTATGTTATATGATTGTAATCATATTTTCGTTTCATGTTCAAAAACATTAAAATCATACTAACTATATGAGTATTATATTTAGGAAGCTGATATATAGATATGATAAAATGCTAGGTTTTGTGATTAAGAATATATACTTATCTTTTAGAAAATAATACTTTTATAAAAAATTATATCTTATATAATCTAAAAATTTTGGACAATTAAAAAACATTAATTAAAAATAGAAGGTGAAAGTGTTTATTCAAAGAAGGTGCAAGATTATGATGTTTTGAGGGTGAAATAAATTTAATAATTATTTATGTGATTTAAGAGTAATACGATCATCGGTAGCTTGAAGACCTCTCTTTATAACTCTTAATGCCGCAAACTTTTTTTGAACTTGCTTTGAATTTTTGAATGCTTTGATTAAATCTTTTGTTGTATCATACATTCTGAAATATCTGTTCATCATTTCTGGCATTGTTGGTAAATTTAACCTGTATCTTAAAAAAAAAAAAAAAAAAAAAAAAAGGTAGTGGGGCTTCCAGGCACTTCGTGCCTTCTAGCCCTGAGGATGTTTTGTCAAGACTTCTTCGTAAATGTTTTGTCAAGACTTCTTCGTAAATGTTTTGTCAAGATTTCATCGTAAATGTTTTGTCAAGACTTCTTCGTAAATGTTTTGTCAAGACTTCTTCGTAAATGTTTTGTCAAGACTTCTTCGTAAATGTTTTGTCAAGACTTCTTCGTAAAATCAGACAAAAATATATTTTAGGGTAGAAGGTTAGATATAACCTCTTTTCTAACCTCTTTTCTACCCTCTTGAATTTGTCAAGATTTCTTCGTAAATGTTTTGTCACTTTTCTGTCACTTTTCAGGAAAAAAACATTTTTATTGTATATAAAATGAATTTTACAAAACCACCGTTACCCTTCTTTGGAAATAAGAGTAGATGTAAAGATATTCTATTGAGAGAACTTAAGAAACTACCGAATGGTCTAACATTTGTAGATTTGTTCGGTGGAAGTTTCTATATATCTCATTTGTGCCATACAATATTTCCTGACTCAAAGATTATATGCAATGACTTCGACAACTATATGAACCGTCTCAAACATATACCAGACACAAACAAAATATTGAAAGAGTTAAAAGAAAAGATACCTATAGGTAAGATGGAACGTATACCATTAGATAACAAAAATACTGTCAGAGAGGTTTTGAAAAAGGCAGAGTATATTGACTGGGATAGTATATCTGCTAGACTATTATATAGTGGTGCTATAAGAGTTCATGACATTGAAACACTTATGTCAAAAGTTTTATATCTTAACTATACAAATGTTTTCAAAGAGAACATAGAAAAATATATTGAGGGTATAGAGTTTGTGAGATGTCATTGGACAGAGTTGTATGAAAAATATAAAGACAAGGAAAATGTTTTCTTTATAGTGGACCCGCCGTTCTTTAACACATGGGATTTTCAATACCAAGTAGACTGGACTTTGAGAGACTCTTTAGAAACTTTAGACGTTTTACATAACCATCCATGCTTTTACTTTACATCCGATAAAAGTGGTTTGGAAAGTGTCATGAGATGGTTAGAGGACATACATGACTATGAGTTTAGATATGACAAGATAGAATATGAGAGAGGTCCTATAAACCGGAAAAAGTGTCATAACAAAGAAATTTTACTAGTAAGTAAATGTGGTTTGAAATAGGATTGTTGGTTTTAGGGTAGAAGGGTATATCTAACCTCTTTTCTAACCTCTTTTCTACCCTCTTGAATTTTCATGAAATTTACACCAAAAATATATTTTAGGGTAGAAGGGTATATCTAACCTCTTTTCTAACCTCTTTTCTACCCTCTTGAATTTTCATGAAATTTACACCAAAAATATACTACTAGGGTCATTTACGAAGAAATCTCAACAAAGTCTTTACGATGAAGTCTTGACAAAGTCTTTACGATGAAGTCTTGACAAAGTCTTTACGAAGAAGTCTCAACAAAGTCTTTACGAAGAAGTCTTAACAAAGTCTTTACGAAGAAATTCATGAAAATTCAAGAGGGTAGAAAAGAGGTTAGAAAAGAGGTTAGATATACCCTTCTACCCTAAAATATATTTTTGGGTCATTTACGATGAAGTCTTGACAAAGTCTTTACGAAGAAGTCTCAACAAAGTCTTTACGAAGAAGTCTTAACAAAGTCTTTACGAAGAAATTCATGAAAATTCAAGAGGGTAGAAAAGAGGTTAGAAAAGAGGTTAGATATACCCTTCTACCCTAAAATATATTTTTGGGTCATTTACGATGAAGTCTTGACAAAGTCTTTACGAAGAAGTCATAACAAAGAAATTTTACTAGTAAGTAAATGTGGTTTGAAATAGGACTACTTGTTTTAGGTTTTTTCCATTGTGTCATTTACTTATTTGACGTGGCAGAAAGATATAGAGAATATGAAGATGAACCAATGCCTGCAAATGTCCAGTATATGTACTCGTAAGAGATATTTTTATCTAATATTAAATGGACGCACAGAACTTAGCGAATGCACAGCAACCTGGACAACCAAACCCAGAGAATATTCCAAATGAAGTTAGAATACAAACTGCAATGGCAAACTATGGTCAAGTGCCAACAGATGTACAAATGCAAACTGCCATGTCAAATGACGCTGCGTTAGGTTTGCCACCATGGTATGCAAATATGAGATGGAAAGAGTTTTATACAAACCCTGAAGTGGGATATAAACAACTCTATGCAGATGACGCGAACACAGGAGTTGACCCAGAATATGTTTTCTACCAGAGGAGAAACAGAATGTATGAGCTCCAGTTAAAGAATGCTATGGAACTCAACAGGAAACGTAAGAGACTAGGCGGACATTAGATTTTTACATATAGTAAAATGGGTTTCTTTGGAAGAATAGGAAACTTCTTTCGAAATGTTGGAAGAGGTATATGGAATGGAATAAAATCTGTCGGAAGAGGAGTATGGAACGGTGTCAAAAATATTGGTAAAAGAGTAGGTCAGTTCGTTGGTATTATACCTAAAGACCCTGAACCAGAAGAACAAGCTCCTGTTATACAACAGCCTGAACCTGCACCACAGTCTAGTTGGCAACCAAATCCAACACCTCAACCATATTAAAATTATATTTTTACCGTTCGATAGTAGTTGTATATGAGACTAAGTTCTAAGTAAAACGCATGGTATAATGGAACTATTCTCTTTCTTCCATCTGTTGTAAACCATACTTGAAAGTCTGAAATACTTCCACTCGGTGGTTCATA